GAATAAAAGTTGGATAGGTAAGAAAAATATTAAATCCAGAATTTCGGCTCTGATACCATGATAAAAATGAAAATATAAAATATGAAATTGATATTATAATTCTGGAGACTCATACGAAGAGATGAGATCCGTATGTTACATATATTGAGCAGTACCCTCCCTTATATATTACAAAAGTCAAACTAATATGAAAGAAAGAGGAAGTGGTGCATGGGCCATGCAAAGGCATGCTACCCATGTAAGTGTGTTGGTGTGAAAGAGAAAGGAAATAAAGCATGGGACCTCTAAGATATGCTAGCCACGTAAATATGTTCTACAGGACATTACATGAGTGGAAGTGCAAAATATTTTATATTTCCAATATGTTTAGCCCAATGGCACCTTATATTGATATAATCTTCCAAAGGGAACCGATAAATGAATAAACACCACAAGACATTTTCTTAATAGTGAATGTGAATGTTTAGAGGAGAACAAGCTGCTCATCTCCCTATATCTATCTCACCATCTCTCCAATAATACATCTCTAAGAATGATAATTAGAGATTCAATAAATAATAATTAAATTAAAAGAATGAATAAACAAATAATGAACCAACCCCAAAATAATGTTAACAGCAATCAGTACGGCAGTCAGGCTGCTTTTGGGCTCAAAGACAGTGTGATGTCTTGGAAAACCTTAAGCCTCTTGTCAATCTTTCTGGGACAGCAAGACTCCATCTTTGATGACGTCGTCCCGTCCAAAACCGCCGCAATGATTGCATTCTCAAAGTCTTTGCTGTCTGGTAGCATCGCTTCTGCTTCTTTCCCACACTTTCTATTCTCATCGCCAGAAACAGCACTCTGTCTTCTCATCTTGGGCTCACAGTCCGGGATGCCGCCGCCATTTATGGACCTTGTCCTCTTCAGCGGCTCTTTAACAAATTTGGATGAAAAGAAGGGCTGGGCAGCAACATTCAGCGAATTAGAAGCAGAGTTGTTGATGTTATTCTCATCTGGGAATGGATCAGATAGTGCTGGGGTTGAAGAAGATGAAGAACAGGGGTGAGGCTGCCAGATTGCTGAAGATCCCAAGAAAGACTCGAATGCCCTTCTCTGCTCGAGCTTGGTTCCCGACCCGACAACCTTAGCCATCAATTCGGATTCGAGATCCTGAAGCATTTGCTGCGCTCTCTCGTAGGCCTTAAGGTGTGAGTCGACGCCTCTCGGGCCATCGGAGACGGCGGGTTTCACGCGCCTCAACGTCTCTTTAGCCTCTGCCACTCTCCCCTGTTTCATCAAACAGATCCCAAGATTGCACATCTTGTTATTGTCTGCTGATATGGTCAATGCCTTTCTGTATGCATCTTCTGCTTCTATGTGGTTGTTTTGCTGCATCAATGCCCATCCTAAATTTCCCTGCAGAATGCATAAAAGATTTGTCTTTTATCTTTCTCTTCCCACCCCCACATTAAAAGAGTGTTCTTTTTTACTCAAAAGTTAGTGTGATTACCAGAAGTCTAGTGGCTTCTTGATCTACTGAAACCTGGAACTTTTTCCCTTGAGATCTGGCTGTCTTGGTTCTCTTTCCATTGAAGGCCAGACCTTGCTGGATCAAGAACAGTTTGTGCCTCAACAATGCGATTTGATCATCCAATCTCCCACATCTCTGCAATTTCCCGAGTAAAGGGGGTAAGCAAGAAACAATGAAAAATCGAATCTTTTTTGTAAAAATTAAGCTTTGGAGACTTGGAGTGAGAGTTCAATCAAACAAACCTTGTAGAGGTCTAGCAAAATATTGTCAAGAGCCTCTTGTGCTTGATCAGAACACCGATGCCTTAAAGATTTAATAGCTTCAATGGCTTCTTCAGCTCTGTTCTGCTGCTTCATCACAATCGCCATATCCTTCAGAGCACTATCAACTCTGTCCCCGGCATTAATGGCTGCCCAGAACAGAGGTATCGCCTTCTCCGGATCTTTTTCAACTAACTTTATTTCAATCAACACAGACACAGTCAAAACAAAAAACCCAGTAATAATGATATGATAGTAGCAAGAAGAAGAAGGGTTTGTGAGTAATTAATCAATTAGCGATTCATACTTGGACATTCTTGGCTCGGACGTACGGACTGTCACCGACGGGGATTTTGTGGGCGGCATGGAAGGATTGGGTTCTGGGTACGACTGGAGGTTTAGCGGGGGAAGCAGGGGCAGATTTAGTGGGTCTGAAACCCGGCGGCCCATTCCATATCTCCTGCAACATCTTCGACTCTTCTCCCGGATAATGAGTTTTCAGTCTGATTCGCAGATTGAAGTATTACAGAGGGAGTGGGGAAGATGAGATGGCAGTCTATGTAGAAGGAGAAGAGGAGGAAAGGGTGTAATTTAGGCAATTGGGTTTGTAGATTGGACCGTTGAAATCTAGCCGTTGTATGTGCCCGTTAGGAATTTCCCTTTTCTGTCGGTTTATTATTAAAAACAAATAGAAATTGCCATTAAAGAGTAAAAAACTAAAAACCTGCGATTTCCATAAATGTGAGTATGTAAGGATTGAGCAATTTTTATATGTTTGATTTCTCTAAATAGAAAGTGTTACTTCCTCCACTCTTCATAAATTTTCATCTTTCCTTTTCAAATAATTAATTTGCGATTCTTATTATTTCTCGTCTTCGCACAAACCTCCATTTTCATGTGCTGATTCAATTTTAAAAAAGTTACAAGGGACAAAGGGAAATTATTTTCAACAATTTATTGTGAGACCATAACATTAATATTGTCACATAAATGTACGATAATGCCATAATGTTACAATACAAACTCTACTCCTATTTTGGAAAAATGACTCCTTAACTCACATGTAATTTCATCGTGTTGGTTAATTAAACATGACGAAATTACATGTGAGTTTTTTTTTGAAATGGACTCAAGCATCTGGATCATTAAATTCTTATCGAGTGACTAAAATTGACTGGAGACCGTAACTTACTTTGGGAGAGATCTCAAATCCCAATTTTTCTAGAGTTGTAGTGCTAATAAGGGAAAATTGAATATCGATTACTTGATTAAATTTTAGGAAAAATTGACAAGAATAATCTCACATTTCACTGGTTTTCTCATAATAATCACACTCTTACGTAATCCTAGAATAATCCCACTTTTGCACTCCATCTTCTTTCATTGGACTCTGACCAGGTTTTTTACGCTTTCTTTAAAAATCATAAAAATAATCTCATCTTTCACTATTTTATTATATCTTTATAAATGTGAGATTATTTATATAAGATTTTCAAAGAAAGGTAAAAAACCTGGCCAGGGTCCAATTAAAGAAAATGTGGTGCAAAAGTGAGATTATTTTGTAATTATGTAAAGGTGAGATTATTATGAGAAGACTAGTGAAATGTGAGATTATTCTTATCAACTTTTCCTAAATTTTATTATGCATTACTCTATTAGTTACCACTTATGAACTTATGTTTCTACAATCGAATACAATCGAATTATTATACTATATTGTAGCCTCATACCCCGCTGCTTACTAAGGAAAATCCAGACACAAACAGAGACATCTGTTACAAATCCAAGCTGGTTACTAAGAAAAATTGCCTGCCGATTAGCAATTTAAATACCCAGATCAAAATCTACCAGAAAAGAAAAAAATTATGCGATTGCACTTTATGAGAATTAGATCTCAATCCAAAGGTTTCAGACATGACACAGTCACACAAGGATGATGGTTGGAGCGGCTCTGAGGGCCTCTTTTATTAAGTTTCTTAATTAAATATTTTGCTTCTTTTCCATTTGTCTTGTATTTCTTTTCATTTCCTTGCTTTCCTTTTCGATGTAACATTTCCTTTTATTTTTAATATAATTTCCTTTTGAAAAAAAGATCAAACATTAAGACAAAAAAATGTAGCCTCATACTCCGCTTTTCAGCACAATGTTTATTTATATAATTGTCTGTTACACACACATCATAGAATAATAGAATTTGTAATTAATATCTTGATAGCTCTTTAATCTGAAAATTTTGATTCGCCGAAATGCCATTTTTTAAGGGAAACTAATTAACTATTATTAATAAATCAAACTCTAACGAAGTTTTAATACAAGGAGGAAAAATCATAGATCACACACAACGATTACACAAAGAAACAACAGCCCTAGGTAGATCGTGAGCTACCCGATTCGCAGAATGCTCCACAAGAGAGAAAGTAATACTAGTAAAACTAGATGCAATATCTCTAATATCATCAATGACCAATCCCATTGGCGAATCCATTCCTGCATGAGAAATACTTTTAATGGCCTATAGAGCATCAGATTCGGCATCAATATTATCCCAACCTTGTTGCTTTAATTAACTTAGTGCCTCCCTCATAGAAAGAGCTTCAGCAACCTGTGGAGAGCTTCGTCCTATCCACTTGTGGGCTCCACCTGCAACAAAGAAACCTCCACTATCCTGAATCATCCAACCCAGCCCACAAACATTATCGGCTAAGAAACACCATTTTTTCAACAACAAAGTTTTGTCATTCCAAGATGCCATTTTTTCAATAGCAAACGCTGCTTTTTGCCTCTAATCCGCCGAAATACAAACACACCTATTGATCCTGTCATTTAGCCAATTAGCCTCCCTCATTAGTTTGTCACGGTGATAAATTGCTATTCGATTGTTTCAATTCTTACTTGTATTGACCGTCCTAGCATCAATTGAGACAAGTTTTTCAAACTTAATCTTATTTAAGTCTTACTTGAAGTCTTCAATGTAAGAGATGAGTTTGCATATAAGAAAGCTACAACAGGTTATTTTTAGGACTTTTACAATTTTCTTGATCGAAGTACCAAACATTCCAGCCTAACTGGTTGTGAGGTTATCCGCCTTTTCTTTGTTTACACTTGACCTTCGACCAGAAACAGCAGCAGTAGTCGAGCCCTGACCGCCATATTGTTGCATCCCTGGTCCCGAGCCTGCTTGCACGACCGAAATCGACCGATGGCCGCTCTTCGTTAATGACGAAAGTGGAAAAACGAAACCCTAACTATCGTAGGGAGATGACCGCTTTTTCTCGAAACTTTACAACAACTCTGGAATCAATTTGAAATCTCTTGATTGAAGATCACTGATTGCCGTAATTCACTTGTCGTAGCCTCCGATTTGAGATGTGCGGCAAATTACCTAATCTGAGAGTTCTGAGAGCCTTTCCTCAGGAACCCGCTTTTTTTCCAATAATCTACTTTTTATTGATAACACACCATTTAGATAGTAGGTAATCCGACAAAAAGACTCATGAAAACCGTCGTCCCTCAAACCAGACTCAGATTAATCGTTGCAGCAATATAACTCGTTGATCCATTTACGGGCACAAATGAGCCAAAGATGGTCATCACAGTCAAATCATCACCCACATCCAAAATCAAATCCACAGTCTTACAACCGAAATAAAAGAAGCAAATATAAACTAACAAAAACAGACCATTAAAATAAACAAAAGCAAAAAAGTAAAAGACTTCATTCAGTCTTCCAAAAACCACTAAATTCCAACTCCCTGGTGTAGACCTCTGCATCATTGACGATGGCGGGCTTAGCCCATCTAAGCCTGCCTCCTCACCATTTTTTATCCCATCCAGTACCATACTATCTCCCACCTGGTTCTCTTTTTCCACCGCCTCCCGGATGCGTCTGCATTTTTGTTCCCCCGTTATCTCCTCGTTAACTCCCACAAACACATCTTTGGTTGAGCTTCTGATTAAACCCACCGTTTATTCCTTCCCTCCTTCCATCTGACTTGTTGTCCTCCTTAATATGAGGACCTCGGCTCGAGCTTGAGGACCCGTCCACTAGCCATTTACTCCCACATGTAGGACTTGTCTTCACTCTGCTACCTGCTCTGAGTTGTACTCCAAATCTTTTATCCAACACTAAATCTTCTTCATACGCCAACAGACAAAAATTTTCAGAGTGACCTATGATGCCGCATACAAAGCAAAAATTTTGCAGCCTCTCATACTTAAAGTCCACCCAATACCCGATGCCTTCTTTCTTTAGGGTAGTGCCCCTTTTCAGGGGCTTCACATTCATACATACTCTAATATGCATATATGATTCCCATTTTTCTCCAAATTGTTTATCGTCATAATTAATAAATTTTCCGATAAAATTACCCACCCATCTTGTTGTACCTAAATTCATTAAGCTGTACGGGACATTATGCACTTGCACCCAATACTCAGCCTCATTCAAACAGATCTTATGCGGAATATCATTAGGTTTAATTTCTTTCAAGATCAACAAATTTCTCTCAAACTGCCATGGTCCGCCATCAAGCCCACGTTTCATATCAACAGGATCATAAAACGTAAAGAGATACCTCTTGTCACTGACTTCTTTGATTATTACACCCTTTCCCGGCCTCCACAACGATGCCATAAGCTCTTTGAACACTGGAAATTTGATTTTCTGCCTGTTAGGAAAAATCCGACTACCGGGTAGGTCGGCCACACCTCCTCTGTTGGGGTATCATCCAGTTCTCCATCATCCAGATCCAGTTCTTCCACATCCTCGCCGATCTACATCTTCTTATATTGGTTCACGACTTGTTCAATGCAATCACACTCCTCCCTCGATTTGAGTCCGCCTTCGATTTCCTCTGGCCCGTAGCAGTCCAACTTGCACGAGCCACAATCGGTCGGCTACTATTCAATCACCACCTCCGCAAATCAAAACCTTTGTCCTTCAAAACACTAACAATCGAAAAAGGGCTGCTAAATCTCACCCAACTCCGTACCTAATCCTTCCTTCGAAACCCTCTCAATAACCCAACCGAATTGTCGGGGAAGAAAAGAACACTGCTCCCCGACCGAGATCGATAGCGGACGAAACACCTCTAGCGGTCGAACCCTAGACAGAAAAATTTTAGAATATTATGTTAATTTCTATTGAGTTCAATTTGAAATGTATTCGAAGTATGGTTATCAAAGAAAATCAAGAGACACGATAAAAAAAATCAAAAGACATTTTCTAAGAAGTTCAATAAGTTATACAGAACAAAGCCTTCGATTTATGGGGCCCTAATTTTGAAAGAAGATTATTGATGTTATATTTTTTTTAGTATTATATAGATATGTTATACTTCGTTTATTAATACTAATCAATAAAATATATTTTGTAAAGAAAAAAATACATATCCATCATTTTATCGTCGGTCGTTTTAGTCTTTTTTTACTCAAATCGCTTGAGTAATGAGTTGTGTTGCTTTATCAAGTATTAAATAACTTTTAGAAAAAAATTATTTCATTATTTAATGAGTATTCAATTGATTTGAGCATAAGTATTTAGATTAAGATCTAAGTTTTTTTGATTTTTTATAATAATGTGGGGCCTCAATTATATATTTAAAACCGGGCCTCTAAAATCATTAGACGTCTCTGGAGAACCATACTATGTTTAAGACTTTCAGTTTGATTCAGTTCGAATTTATTCGGCTTGATCTGGTTTGGAATTGTTATTTAAAAAATTATACAAATAATTTATTGAGTAAATTATTTTTATTTTTTTTTGCGATTTTTCACAATTTTGGTTCAGTTTGATTTACTGTGGTTTGGAAGAAATAATATCAAAATCAACTAAATCACATATGGTTTGGGTTCGATTCGGTTCAGTTTGTTCAAACCGAACCAATTTGCGCACCCGTAGTTTAGGGTTAAGTAAATGGGAGCCTTTGCGACACTCTGTTAATGTTATTGTTGTAGTTTGAAATTGCATACAAACAGGTGTGACACAACAATCACTAATGACCAAACAGGTGTGACACAACAATCACTAGCCATATAGATCATTCTAACGACATAATAGCTAACACAATTGTCAATCATTATTGTAGACCTAAAACTAAAGGCATCAACATACATTTGGCTTTATGCTGTCGAGACCTGGGTTTTTTATTCCTTATACTTTGGACACATTGTTATATAATCTGGCTCTTTCTGTACCCCACTTAATTTGGCTCTTTATAACCTGTTTTTTCAATCGGGACAACAAACTTTTGTTGCAAGCCCAACACTTTTGTAATTCCTTGTAGTATACATTTACTAGTTTGAATAAAATAGGAAAATGTTACCTGGCATTTTCCCCACTACAAAGTGGTCTTCGGAAAAAAAAAAACTAAAGGCATCAACAAAAACAGAGAACGTAAAAAAACATAATGCGAAAATAAGATTATAAGAAACAAAATAACTGATAAATGCTTCAAACTCCTTCCTGACAATTTTATTGAAACATCATCTTTCAAACTCTGACACATCAATTCACTGCAAGGCGGCGATTCATGAGTTTGGGCTTGGTTAGAAGGATCTATATTGTTTTTTTTACTCCAGGGGGCCTGGGGGGCCTGGGGGGGGCTGGAGTAATCAAGGCTGAAACTCACTCCATTGCTCACTCCATTGAGTTTTGAACCTTTATGTGCCTAGCAGGTTTCGAACTCGAGACCTCCCACTAGGCACAGTAACCTCACAACCAGATGGGCTGGAATGCTTCGTTTTTGTGTCACACCTGTTTGGTGATTAGCGATTCATATTGCTCTATACACCTGTTTGTATGCAATTTCAATCTACAACAATAACATTAACAGAGTGTCGCAAAGGCTCCCATTCACTTAACCCCAAACTACGGGTGCGCAAATTGGTTCGGTTTGAACAAACTGAAACGAATCGAACCCAAACCATATGTAATTTAGTTGATTTTGATAGTATTTCTTCCAAACCACATTAAATCAAACTGAACTAAAATTGTGAAAACTCGCGAAAAACCATATGTGATTAGCGATTCATATTGCTCTTGATAATTCAAGGATTCATATTGCTCTATACACCTGTTTGTATGCAGTTTCAAACTACAACAATAACATTAACAGAGTGTCGCAAAGGCTCCCATTTACCGTGGCGTATGGGGTCGGATGTACCAACTTTACCTTTGTACTAAATCACACAGAGGGTTTTCAGATAACCTAAGGAAATTTGAAATGACAGTGTGATACAAAGTTGAAACAACCACATGAAACAAGGAATCTCTCATATTACATGCTTGCATTTGCTAACATACAATATTGACTGCTATAATGCCATAAGGGCGACCAATATATGAGTTTGTGTTGAGATGGACTAAAGACATTGGACAAGACTGAAGCACATACTGAAGTAGGCTAAAAGGAAAAATGGAAATATTTTACATTAGAAAAAAAGATGTTTAGCTCTAGTGTAAAACACTATTTGTGTTTTAGTTTTAACCTAAGCCGCGCCAGTGCTATATATGTGCATGGTTCTCTACATCTATCTTCACCAATTGCAGGACATTATGCGATTCATTCATATTTTCAGCAATTATACAATATCTATTATGCCCGTAAGTTTGAACTTTTATTATGATGCATCATATCAACTTCACCACAATGAAACGTTGAATTACACAAGTAGATTATATAAATTTAACTACAAGGACAGTATTCCAAACATGAAACATTACACTCATTTTCGTAATGTTTTGATCTCAAGCTTATTACACATAGCTGTTTTAAACTCCTCTATTTATTCTCAAGAATGAATCCCAAGCATCCATCGTAATCTAACTCGAATAACATGAACCATATATTAACTCTTCTTAGTTAAGGAGAGGATGGTGGAGACCATGAGCTTGCTGTCAATGGGTTTAGTTAAATAAGCATCCATTCCCACCTCCAGACATTTTGCTTCATCTGATGACATTGCGTGGGCGGTCACTGCCACTATTGGTATGTGTGCAGTTTTCCCCAACTCTGATCTTCTAATAGCTTTTGTTGCTTCATACCCATCCATCTTTGGCATCTAAATCCATAACATCATCTTTATCTCATTAATAATCTACTCCGTAATAATTATTTCACTACTAAAATGCCAACAACATTCTATCGTATAAAGACTAAGAAGTCTAATTGTGTGTTATTTGTTTAATCAAATATGAATACTTCTTTGTAGCTGCAAGGAAAATTACCAAGATGTATATGCAAGAATCATAGTTTCACTTACTTGACAATCCATCAAGATCAAGTCAAAGCCAGGGGAACATGATCCTTCATCGTTTCTGTAATCTTTTGAGTTAACTACTGACTTGAGAGCATCCACTGCTTGCTGCCCATCTCCTACAACCACAACCTTTGCTCCCAGTTTTTCCAGCATTACGGTGGCGACTTTCTGAAGCACTGGCGTGTCTTCAGCAAGTAGTATTCTTAGGCCCTCGAGAGGTTTTTGCTGATTTGTTTCCTTTCTCAAGCTAACATTGCTTAACTCTACTGATCTATTGTATTCCAAATTCGAATCTGTGAGAGTTTTACCATTCCCACTTTTTGAATTATGAAATTCATCTGACCTGGCGACGTAAGATTGCAGTTCAAGTTGCTTGTCTTTCATTATGGTTTCCAAAATCTGAACCATCTTCCCCTTGTAAAGCGGTCTGTTTACCATCAAAAGGTGCCCTCTTCTACGAAGCTCATCTTTGATTGTACTGGAAGTATCATGGTAAAGAATCCATGCAAACTTTGCTTTCCCACTGTATTTTTCAAGAAAAGAAAGTTGCTCCTTCCATATGTTTGTGGTCAAGTCAAGCAGGCCGATATCAATAACTATGGCAAAAAGTGATTTATTTCCTTCATCAGCTGCGAGGCATTCAAATCCCGAGCCGCATGCTAAGTTGGTGTTGGTTTTAGAAAGCCCCTGAAGCCTTTGTGTCAATTCATTCCAGTTAGATGTTTCAAAAGTTTGGACTCCACTCTTCTCTAACCACTGGGATACTATTACCCTTCCTATTGCACCATTTAGTGCAAGCAGCACCTGCATTCATTCAGGTATCAAACATTAGCTTTCTTTTGGGGAGAAAAGGAAAGGTCCAAGGTTCCATTTAGTAGTTACTTCTGGCCTATTCTCCTTATTTGGTTGAAGTTAATGTTACAAATCGCATTTCATTTCCGAAAAGTAGAAGGGTCAACCATTTTATCCAAGTAACCTTTGCACAAAGTGAACTTCTGAGAAAATAGGTGCATAGGTGAAGAGGTTACATAGGGCTCTTGTGAAAGCTAGTGAGCATTATCTTGTTCGCACTTGGAGTCATACTCATGACTGGCTGATTGCTAGATTTGTTATGTCATCCTGTATCAGTTAAATATAAAGATACACATTTGGACTGTTTCAATTCTCTGATCACATATGATCTTTTAGAATGAAATTATGGTATTAAAAACAAATGAAGCTCAAATGAGTCATCGATCTACCTAAATTTTAGATGCTGGTTTGTTTGAGTGAATTGTTTGAGTGAATGCATGTTGACTCACACAAACTAGCACACAGATTTCAAAATTGGTCTGCTCAAACAAACCAGCATCTGAGGGCATGTTGACTCACAGATATGGAGTCCTCCTATAAGATATCTCACCACTAAACCACCTATAAATTTTCTTGGATATTGAATGTAAAACCATAGGACTTACTCTCATTTTATGCTCTCTCAGATTCAAATGGCAATATTGTCCCGTGCCATCTATAGGAGTGTCTAGTAGGAGGCAAAGCTGCATCAGAGTGCCTCCTCCACTTTTATTCTCAACTTTGATCTCACCACCCATTTTGTTCACCTGTAGTTAAAATCTTCTAATCATTAGATATACGGAGCAATATTCTACTACAGAGAGATAAGTATAAGCAAGATAGTTTACTCTAAAGATCATTTAAACATTCTCTCTTTCATTGCACAAACTAATGTGAATTTTTTTGCACAAACTAATGTGAATTTTTTTGCACAAACTAATGTGATATACTCTTTTAGAAGATCATGTAAGTTTGATTTACTCTTGTGTGGTCTTTTTGTTTTTAGAAGAATTCATTGCCGAAATCATTTGCGCGTTACAACTTGCAACTTACCAAGGAACGTACTATGCATAAGCCAAGACCAGTTCCACCATGCCTGCATGAAATAATACATTGAGATTAGATTCATTAATCCATGACTGCTAATAGTGTAATATGATGATCAGCTAAAAACTTGTGTATCAGGCCTCAATTTATTTACACACACACACATATACATACTACTTACAATCTTGTAGTGGAGGGATCAGCCTGCTCGAAGCTTTCAAACACAGATTCCCATTTGCTGGGATCAATTCCTGGAGAATATAATGTAAAACTTGAAGTACTGAAATATGCTTAAGGCATGTTTAGATCTCGGAAAATGCTATAAAAAGGAAAAAATAAATAAAATGAATATGAACAAATATCTAAAATAATTTATTGGAGTTTAGGTAATCATTTATTTCCTCCAGATTTTCATGCCTTTTAAGAGTAATTTTTTATGTGTTTTCTTTCACATTTAATTTCCCTAGCATTTTATGGGGTGCAAACAGACCCTAAATGAACTGCTAGTAGTTTCTTAGCAATTTGATATTCATACCACAACCAGTGTCATCAACTTCAAACCAAAAGACCATTTTGCTACTATCTTTCTGGGAAGGTTTTCCACCATTGCCACTGTGGTGATTCAACTTTAGTTTAGGAGTGGACCAAGATTCCTTCAGGTTGACAGAAAGCTTCCTCCAACTTGTGACACTATTTGGATTTTCACACCATCCTCGAAGAACGATATGGCCAGCTGCGACGCATTCAAGACTTTCAAACAAATATAATATGCTCCCTCTATTAATAATAATAATAATAATAATAATAACCCCATGGATTCCTATAGTTTAAAAAAGTCTTGCTTTCCAAAACATTTTAGTATTAGAAACATCTTTTTTCCGAGGCATGGAAAGCGAAGAATTCAACTCATGGTAAAGTAGAAGAATTCAATTCATTACAGCACGGCTAAAATACAATTATGGTCACTGTATATTAATTATTAAAAGTCAATTTTTCTATTACGTAGTATTTTTTTGTCATATACTTGTCATTATTTCTAATATTGTTCATATATAACAGCAAAGTATTCATATATAACAGAGCTAACTCACATGATGTGAACTTCAATGAGTTGCTTAGCAGGTTTGCAAATATTTGAACAACCCTGCCTGAATCTCCTTTAACTAATTTTGGCATATCATCTGAGAAGAAGGAAGTATAACAAATAGTCAGAATTAATAAACAAATAAGTATTGCAGAAGTCAAACATTCACCATACCTGAGAGATCTAAAACAGTTTCCACATTGTGGTTGATGCATTGGACAGAAAACATATCAACAAGACCTTCCAGTTCTCGACTCAAATCAAACTCACTCTCTTCCAAAACCAACTTTCCAGATTCTACCTGTTTCAGGAATCAATGAATATATTTATTTATGAACTTTGTGTAACTGGATAGCTAAGCATGGGGTGACCGACTTATGAATCTCACCTTACTGAGATCCAAAATGTTGTTGAGTAGCCTAAGTAAAGCAGTTGAACATTTGCGTATCTGAGTGACTGTGGAATATTGCTCATTTGTGAGGCAATCGTCGGATATAAGAATGTCCAGCAAGCCAATAACTGCAGCCATAGGTGTTCGTAATTCATGACTGTCAATACAGAACAAAAACAACATGAAGGAACTGCAGAAAACATCAAAATAATAATAAGAGGAAAATTCCTCAAATAAGACCATTGTTTAATGAAGAACTATTAACAGTTATTCTCCCTTTTCAGGATACATAAAAATACTCTTATTTATGCATACAACCTTGTTTTACACTTTTACCTCTATAGTTCTTTTTGCAAAATGTTCATTATTAGTACTGATGAAATAGAGTGGCAAGAGTACCAAAGAAGTCTTGATGTCAGGAGAAGCTAGAATACCTTGTTATAAACCACTTATGAGTAAACTATAACAATGACTATTTAGTAATCGTAAGCTTCAGTGATTTCTCAGGCACACAAACATTTCAATAACGGGAAAAGGTTTCATAAAATTGATATTACTTAGGATTTATCTCAAGAGCATCCAATCATCCATGGTACATAATAAGAAGGAAATAATTCTTATAGTTATCATAAACTCTGTTTGGATGGACATGTGGTGATCAATGTGCAATCTAGAGTTTAAATAGAATGATATTTTCCTTTTCATTAGCAAGTTCTTTCTCGGACCTTGAAATCGAGGATCCCTCTATTTATTTATATCAGTCTTGGTAAAGCAGTATTGATAACCTACTAATAGAAAACTGCTTCTAAGAATTAATATTAACAAAAATAAAGTATCAATACTTAAATGAAACTATAACTAATAGTTTTAATACTATAAGTAAGGGTCTACGTAATTGATTCTAATATGGAGTATTAATTAAAGAAGATTAATAATAATATAATACCTAGTAGTAATAATAAGAACACTCCCTACATGAGACTTCTCCATGTTCCCTTTCATGTGGTCCTATCAGGAAACATGAGCAAGCAGCCAATTCTATAAATGAATGACTTTATCTTGTTGCATCATGCATGCTTAGTGCTTATAGTGCTTAGTTGCTTACCTCATGTTTGCTAAAAACTGGCTTTTGTAGTTGCTTGATGCCTCTGCCTTCCTTCTTGCATCCAAATGGGATATCAACTCTGCCCTTAGTTTCATCTCCTTCGAAACACCATTGGTCAATATGAAGATGCACACACATCCGGTGATCAGAATGCATACAGATGCAGATATCAGTATCACCAAAGTTTTGAATGCCCTCTCATCAATCTTCCCCATTATATATTTCCTTGGAATTAGTATAACTCCCACCTGTAAATCACTTTCTCTTAAAGTTCTTGTTTTTATTAATAAGAAAAGAAAAGATAGATTTAGAGTCCGTTTAGTAACCCCTATGTTTAGCTGAAAACAATTTTTCCCAAATAAGTAACTTCTGATTTCGCCCGTTGAATTGTATAATAATCATAATAAGAAAGGTGAGTCCCGTTCTTGTCCAGCCGGCCTGACGGGATGCTCCGTCTGGCCAAGGGCATTTCAGGCACTTCCCGGTGGAATTTTTTGATCAAAGTTTTTGAGCATGTTATTCATGAAGTCTAGTTTATCCATACCAAATTTCAGCTAAAAATTCAATCGGGAAGACACTCAAATAATTTCTTGAAGTTAACTGGACAGTTTATATGTATGAACTACCCAGTTAACTTCAAGAAATTATTTGAGTGCCTTCTCGATTGAATTTTTAGCTGAAATTGGGTATGGATAAACTAGACTTCATGAAGAACATGCTTAAAAAATTTCATAAAAAAATTCCCCCGGGAAGTGCCCGAAATGCCCTCGGCCGGACGGACCATCCCGTCAGGCCGGCCTGACATGAAGATTTGTCTAAGAAAGGTTATAGTTAATTTTCTAACTGAATTTACAGAACTTAATGTAGATGATCATTTTAGCTATTTTTCATACACAAAGTGTTTTTTCTTAATTATATTCAGCCAATTATTCATCCATTTTAACCAAAATTTCATCAATTTCAACAGATTTAGCCGATTCTGCCAATTAGAGTGTTACCGTACAGGCTTAGAGTTTCTAAAAAACTGTAGTTGAGTGCATAGATTGAGAATTTACCATAGGAAGTCTCTTTAAGTTGAGGAAAAAAGAGTCAATATAGTAAGGTTGATTCCCAAGCTTTGCATTGTCAATATGGACTTCTTGACCAGGTGGAATATTGTTGCCATACTCTTTCTGCAAGCAATGGGCCCCAGCTTGTATCACTGGGTCCTCTGAATCTACAGCCATGATTAGCTTTGGCCTGGTTGATGCGTTCACCCAGAGAGGGGTATTTGTGGAAGTAGCAATTAACCATCCCTCTTGTGAGGTCAGATATATATGCCCACTATGGAACTCAACGATTTCTCTCATCAACTGCCCGACGCTGTACAGAGCCGTCGTGACCCCCACGACGGCGATTATGCTTTCGTTCGACGGACTCCAGACGGGAAGCGCGGCGGAGAGAAGCGGGGAATCGGAGTATTTGCTGACGGCGACGTGCCACGTGGCCGCACCGTCGGGGACCTGAGAGATCCCGGCGATGTTGATCAGCTCGTCCGGCGGGATTTGCCCCTGCCTCCCGATTCCGACGCCGGTCACCGGATCCAGCGGCTCCCTGTACCAGACCGCCGACGTGTTGCTGCGGATTGACCGGTCGTCCCACCCCTGCCGCGACGACGGCGACGCGCTGGCGGCATCGTAGGTCCCGCTAATTGAGTAGTTGGCTAGATCGGAGTATATGTAGAAGGTGCCGTTGCTCCGGTGGTCTCTGTGGAAAGCCTGGACGAAGCCGTTTCTGTAGTTTATTGTGATGGAGCTGAGAGCTTTCCGGCTGGCAAAGAGGGCCCACGTCACTTCCTTCATGGCTGCGTACAGCTCGAGTTGCTGGGGTTGGGTTACGGCGGCGCTGCTATATCGCCGGAAAACAAACTCCGACATCTTTACCTGAGCAGTTGCAATTTCGACAGTGGAATTAAGGATGCTCCACATTCTTAGGATGGGCCTCTGGAGAAGCTCATGGCGAAGACCGAATGCCAGAGTGTTGAGTGATCTTTTTGTGTAAACTCTGGTAAAATGCCATGTCAGTAAGGTCAACAATCCAATCAATATTGCTAACATCACCTGCATGAAATCCAATTTTCATGAAAATTAGCTTCATTCACACATTTCAGCATACAGTTTTTGGGAGCAAGAAAACTCAAAGCAGTGTTAAAACTCGGGATTCCATGTCCTAGATGATGATTTGTTTGAGATTTAATGTTGTAGTTTGTGTGCTCTTTACAGTTTACATGTATATGATTTGCTCGTTTAGTTGAATTTGTTATGATACTGTATCAAAGTTCAAAACTTGGTTGGCAAAGTGATAGATCACAGAAGTTGTAATTTGATGTTTTATATGTTGATTTGTATATTTATACGTGATGGGTTTGAGATGGATTAAGGCGTAATACAGAAGAGACGAGACAATGAGACTTACCATGATGGCGAGACGAACAACGAAAACGCTGTAATATGAAGACCAGCAAAGGGTACTTGCATATTGAAACTTTTCATCTTCTTGATCTTCAACATCTCGGTGGATATTCTTTCTGCTAGTAGGAGACTGCTTTCTGGTGCAAAAGCTTACAAAACCAAACATGTTTTAGGAAATTCCTTCTGGGAATGCTAACCAGAATTGTGTGATGGTGGTGGTGGTGATTCAGAGCACATAGTTGCCTTTCTGGACACCATTGTTGTTATTCTCAGTAATTGAGCAATAACAAATCACGTATGTACTGCTGCATGAGTGCATGTTGGTTTTGGATGAGGTAAGGAAGAAACTTGAAGCTGAAGCTGCAGATAATGACAGAAGATTTATAAGGTTGGTGGTCTAAATGTCTAATTATGTAAAGAGCCTCCTTCTAGGGCATATAACAAGGCAGAAGTCTTGACTCTTGTGATCAGCTCCAAGCAAGAATTTGGAGCTTGCTTAGATAATCGTACGTCTGGTCGATTCTGAGACCCTCACGGAAGAGGTATCAATGTATCATCCCTTTTTATGTAAAGAGCTTGCTTAGTGTGAAATATTGAAGTGATACATAATAGCTTCCAAATTTAATCGATTAGTTATTGATTTGTATTTATATTTTAGACTCAAGAATTAATTAACTCGAATTTAAGTTATTCTTAATTTTTTTTCTAGTTGAGTTTATGAGCTTGTTTTTGCATAGCTTGATGATATTAATACTCCGTAATAAATTGAATTGCTAATGAAGTTACCTTATCTCTACTTGTACTAAAAGTAGGCACAATCAAAATGTAAATATTTTAATTTTTTTCTCTCCGAGCTTTCCAAGTAGAGTTTTGAGTTTTTTGTACATGTGTCAATTTCGACTTTGACTTTTATTAGTAGATTGAAGATGTTTTCTTTTGGACTGAAATTTGCTGGTCTGGTCTGAATTGGTCTGGTCGTAAATGTCCGGTCTATGTGTATTTTATAACTACAGAAGTCTAGTCTGGTCTGGCCTGGTCTGAGATTGAAAACATTATAAAAGAAAATATGCTCAATTTGAGCACTTCAAAATTTTTCCTGCTCAAACTAAGGTATAGTAGTGCTTCACGAGTGTGGTGATTCATTTTTTAAATGGTTAACAAGTGATGAATGGTTTGTGAGGTGTTTATCACTGGTATGCATATAGCCTCAAATAGACCATCAATGTCACCCAATTGTGATGTCTAATACATTTTGATTGAAAAGCATACAAGTTTGTGCGAAGTGATTTGCGTCAAAGCTTGTGGGTACTAACTCTATATTGTTTTCGAGGTTCAGGTTTTATTTGCAATGGGCAAAATTAGTGAATGTAAACGAGTGTTTGTAATAATTTAAAAATATTATTACCAACATTTAATTTTTGATTAAGGAATTTTATCAATTCAGGATATAAATGATAAACGAATTATCAATTCGGGACATGAATGAATAAAATGTATCGATATAGGACCCGAATAATGGAAAACTATCAATTTAGGACATGAATGATTGAAAATTATCAATCTAGGACCTAAATTGTCATGATTTTTTTTTAAATTTTTAAATATCATTTAATTTTATTAAACTAATAAACTTTTGTGAAGAAAAGTTTATCAAAAAATAGCAATGGAATTAATAAAAAATTAAATAAATCAAAACCTATGAAATGTCAGGTCCTAGATTGACAGTTTTTCATCATTCGGGTTCTATATTGATACATTTCATCTTTCGGATCCCAGATTGATAATTCATTTATCTTTCGGGTTCTGAATTCCTTTGATGGTAAAGAAAACAAAATATAACGTTTTCGAAAATATATGCTTCTACTTATAGTTTAGTTTTTTCAAAGTTAAGAGATGTAAGCAGGGGTGTATTTAAAATGCTTTTGACGTTAGTGCAAAAAATGTTTTTCACTAAATATTTTAACTTTTCAAACACTACCAACTTTATTACGAATCAATCACTTTTCATATAAGAAAATTTCTCCTTGACTGAGAAATTCATGAGACTTCTAGAATATTGCGAAGATGTCTAGAATTCTCTAGATATGTGTAAAGAAGTATTTAATGTTCTAGAATATTATGGAGCCTTCTAGAGAGATCCGGAATTATCTAGAAGCGTGTGGAAGAGTGTAGAATATTCTAGAATATTATGTAATTTCTAAAGAAGTGTGGGATTCTCTAGAATCGTGTGGAAGTGTGTGGAAGCCTCTAGAACATTATGAAGATATGCAAAGCTTTCTAGAGATCTTTCTAGAAGATTAGTGAAGTTTTTGGACACTTTTTGAAAGACTCTAGAAATGTAGTGGTTTATAGGAAGTTCTAGAAAAGTCTTAGAGAGATCAGTAGTATATATAGGAGTGACTCTCCTCATTGCGAGAGAGAGCCTTGACTGGGAACTTTGTTTGAGCCTCCTTGAGTGATAGGGAGAGCGTTGTTAAAGCCTCCTTGAGTGATGAGAGATAAGACCCTCAAGAAGAGTTCTTGAGTGAGTGAGAGCGTCTTTGAGAGAGGAGAGTGGAAGTGAAGTGGTCTCGTATACAAAGAGTGAAATGAGCTACATGTTTACTTGTAGATCTCTCTTGTACATTCTAATTGTGTAATACAAAGTATTATTGTCAGATGAAGACTTTGTATTGCGAGTGTGTGGATGAGTGTGTAAGAGTTTTTTGAACTTGTGATCCTAGAAGAGAGATCGAAGACCGTGTTTTCACCAAAAAAGCTAATGGGATTATTGGAATACTTGCTTAGAATTAAGAGAAAAGGGTCAAATAAGGTCTTCTACTATTATAAAATAGTCATATAAGACTATGTACTCAATAAAGTGTCATATCAGTAACTCTACTTGTAAAAAACACTCAAATGAGTCATAACGATCTATTTACAACCTCCTAATCCCGATTTTAGCTTACATGTCGATATTTTTGACTTGTGTTTCAACCAATCTTAGTTGCATATTCGACGTGTGCCGTATAATCTATTCTAAAAAGATGGTCACAAGTATGCTAAAACCGGGATTAAGAGGTGTTAAATAGGTCTTTAGGACCTACTTGATTGCTTTTTACAAGTAGAGGTACTTATTTGACACTTTATTGAGTACATGGCCTTATGTAATTATTTCATAATAGTAGAAGACCTTAACCCTTTTCCCTAGAATTAATAAATGAAATGTGATTAAAATGAAAATTCTCAAGGCCATGGGCGTGCATGTGTGAGCCATGTAGGGTCGTCGTACGTACACTCTAAATAAAAGATTGTATTTGACCGGTGGAGATGGTCGCCTACTCGCCTTTACTCAAGAGGATGCACCACCCAAAAGTTGTGACTCCACTTCATCATCGTGCATTCGTGCCAATCTCGTGCGTGCAGCCCATTAGGCCATATATCATTAATAACACCTATGACTATCTGTTTCTATCTTAATTACCATGCGTATACAACAACATACATATCTATTCCACTCCAAGAGTCCATGTCTCTCTTTGTGAATGAATGCAGTCAAATACTTTTTAATATATTGTTTTAATATCACTACTACTTGTTTCCAAACAATATGTGTACTTAAATATTATTGTAATTAATACTACATTCGTCCCATTTTATGTGTCTCACTTTGACTTGACATGATTATTAATGAAGTGGTTGAGGTTTGGGTATAATAAAGTGAAACAATGTATGCCACATATTTCTTTTCAAAAAAGGAAAGAAGACGTTTATTTAGAGAGAATGCTCAATATGTTACAATATGGATAGGAGTATATATATATCATCATTTGTTCGCCAAAAATTTTCAATTTTATCATATTCACCTCCAAGCTAAGTATCATAAGATTAATTACTATGTATTTCTCAGATATGTCACGTGCCTTCTAATTACAATTTTGAATTACATATATAACTACAATAAAGTCAATAATAATTAATAGAATTAGTACTTACACCATAAAAAATAATGGGATTGATAGAGATTTGTGGTACGAATTCACCAAATTTATAAAGGATTCGACACGGATAGGAGGCGAAATCCGCGCCAAAAGCATTTCGTCACGAGTTATTTGATATCAAATCATTAATCAATTCGTGTCAAATCTGTGTCAATCCCGTAACTTTTTGTAATGTTAGTAATTTACAATTAAATACTATGGTAAGATAAAAAGGTTTAGGGCCGGATACCAAAGAATCAAGTGAAAAACATTCCAATCATGACCGATCACGAAAATTCAATAAAAAAGATTCAAATCAAGACAAAAAGGATTCAGATCATAAAAGCTCAAACAATATCTTTAACAATTCATATTAAAAAAATTATATCAAATCAACTGAAACTGAACAGCTACTAAGTTTTATTTGTGTATTGACTTTTTATTTTGTGTGCTGGATAAAGATTCATTATGATTTATGAATTCAGTAAAATTATTAGTATGTGTATGATTATTATTTGGTTATATTGTCAATGGAAAATGACAGTTATTAATGTTGGTCCAAAATAGGACGCTCGTAGGCTTTTAAGAAAGCTACGAAAGAACACTCAAGCAGGAAAATAAAAAGTACAAAATTGGATAGTGCTCAGGGGATTTAGTTGCCAGAAAGTAGCGTGTCTTCATTTGAATTCGAATTGCCTATTATAGGCGATTAGAAATGGTAACTGCCGAACATAATAATAATAATGGCTAAATAAATTACAACATTAATACGGAATTAAATACATAATTAATAGTGCATTGATTGTTGGCCGTTACTCTTCCTGGCTTGCTGGCGGGTCGACCTGGTTGGCAGGCCGGACGCTTGAGCTTTTTGGGCGGCAGGCTTTCACTGGACTGGAAGACAGGCTTCCCGCTAGGCTGGAGGCGAGCTACCTGCTGGGCCGGAGGCAGGCTCCCTGTAGGGCTGGAGGCAGGCTCTTGGCTAGGCTGGAAGTCAGGCTCCTTGCTAGGCCGAAAGGCAAGCTTCCGATTGGGTCGATAGGCAGGCTTCCGGTTGGGCCGATAGGCAGGCTATCTTGGGTTCCCGCTCAGTTGGACTTCCGCTCCTTGATGGGCTTGATAAGTTGGGCCGGCTTGAGATCCGGATTGCTGGGTCCACTGGTTGGGCCTGCCTGAGTAGACAATCGTCTTGGGCTTGGGCCTGCTGGTCCAAGTTCGGAGCCTGAGCCGATTAGGCATTGGGCCTAGTCTCATAACCCCATCACGAGTCCCCCACTCCCTTAGTCGAGTAGTAGACTCGGCTAAGAGGGAATATTCCAAGTCAGTTTAAAAGGCTTCTGTAACACCGTCCCCAAATGTATTTACTTTTAAGTGAATAATGTATTGAACCTTATGGAATGGTTAATGAGTATACGAAGTTGTGAATTTTTATTAACTCTTTTGCGTGAATAGTAAATTCGCACGTGAAGACCACATCGGGAGCGGGGGCCGCCCGAAATTCCCGAAACCATATAATTTATTTATCTTGGTCAAGATAATATTTATATAGTTGTGGATGATTTATTTGAGCCATGGAAAGGCCAGAGTTGATCGATTGGTCAATTAAGGTCCAAATTTCCAGTATTGGTAATTGAATGGATAGTAGCCCGAAATGAATTTCGGAGACTTACACATTTAAGTTGGGGAATGTATATTCATTATAAAGGGTATAGTGATTAAGAACACATAATATATTTTGTTTGACCCGATAAAATAAAATATATTTAAAACAGTCCGAAATATACAACTTTCGGAACCGATTGTACACTTCTGGACAAAAAGGATTGACCTTCCACATGGGTGGGGGCCAACCCACGATTTTAGTCATGTAAACCAAGGGGTTGGGCGGCTGGAATGGAGAGAGGAAGGTGGGAGATGTTGGGGTTGAGAGGAAAGGCATCAAAGGTACACATGATGGACCCCCATTTTGTTCACTCATTTGATCAAAAGACAAAGAACAATCCTCACCCACTCTCTCCCTCATCTCTGCGACCAGCACACCCAAGCAAGAGCCAATAAAATTCTCCATCCTCCTCCATTGTTGAAGAGAACTCTACAAGAAAGAATCCCAAGAAAAGGAGCTAAAAGTGTTAAAAGTGTGAAAATTAAGGTAATAACCTTATCATAACTTTTTCTCTATTTTTCCTTCCATCATATGAGATTATATATCATATGGAGAATCCTTGAGATTGTTCTACATTCTAAGAGTGTGGGATAATGGGTTGGAGAGTGGTTCTAAGTCCAAGAACGGACTTAGAAGCCAAACCGACAAGTTCACCGGAAAATAACCTTGGAGAGGTTATTTGTATTGATTAAGGTTTTATGATGTTAAAACCTTGTTAGGAACCTGATTAAAGTATTTTTTAGCTTCGCCGGAGTTTCGCCGGAGTTGGTCAAAGTTTGCCGGAATTAGTCAAAGTTCAACCGGGGAGCGTAGAACGTGCTTAAGCTCACTTAAGGTGAGGATGACCGACTATATTGCTTATAATCTTTGGGTTAATTTCATGAGATTTTCTAAATGAATACACAATGTGATTTGCATGGATTATTAATGGTTAATAATGCCTAAATGAAATTACTATTGATTCTAAGTATAGTTTGCATAATATACAAATTTATTGAATAAATTGTGTATGTTTATATGTTATGAATATGATGGCATGATAGTAGTATCAACCATAAACCCCATTTGTGATAAGTATGCTTTTATTTCATGAGAAGAAGCCATGAAAGAATAAAAGTGATATTTTGATATTAAGGCCAAATTACATATTGAATGAAGAATTATATTGAAATGAGTAAATAACTAGTATTGAAATATTAGTTGGAATTGTAGTTGAATAATGGATGAATGGATACTAAGAAATTGAATTGTAAAGAATCGGTGATTATTGAGCTGGGCTCTAGACCGATGTAGATAACGGTGATTATTGAGCTGGGCTCTAGACCGATGTAGATAACGGTGATTATTGAGCTGGGCTCTAGACCGATGTAGATAACGGTGATTATTGAGCTGGGCTGTAGACCGTAGTAGTGATCGGTGATTATTGAGCTGGGCTCTAGCCCGATGTAGATGACGGTGATTATTGAGCTGGGCTCTAGACCGTAGTAGGTAACAGTGATTATTGAGCTGAGCTCTAGACCGTGGTAAGTAACGATGAATTGACACTAAACGAACAAAGTTAACTATGATATGATAACACCCTAGTTTGAGGGTCTTGGAAATTGAAACTTTGATTATACTTAGTATAGTTGTCATTGTACTTGTCAAATGCTTCCAAGTAATGACCTCCCCTTCACGGGGGAGGCCACCTCACAGTTTCAGGTAGAACTTGAAGGTTGCTACTATCGCCCTATTGTTTCGGGAAGATCAAGGGAAGAAGACGTGGTTCGTGTTTTCCTCCATTTCCGTTTTAAAAATAATTATGTTAATGCTCATGGATATTATATTTTTGAATAATTATTTGGGGCTTGTATGCCCATGTTTGCCAAAGTGTGGTATGAACATTTGTACCAAATGTTTCCGCTGCTCTAAATGAATATTTTACATTATGTTTGTTTATGGATGTACTATGTGTGAATGATATCCCAGACGCCTTGTATAGTATGGATGTGTTGGACTGTGGTTGACTATTCGTACTGTACGACGGATTGTTGACGTGTCCGGATAGGTCCGGGGTGTGACAGCTTCAACTTAATTCCCTCAGCATCCTAGCAGTCCAACAATCAGCTTTCTCCCAAACTTCAGGATCCAGGTCAGCTTCCAAAAATTCCTGAAATTCATTATAATTATTTCCGGATTTTTTTCTCTTTTCTTTTCTTTTATTTTCTCTCCTCTGGAATCCTTGCGTGCGCGTGTCTTCTCCGTGTCGCCCCAGTACCGCAGTCATCTAGCCGAATGGGTTGACCGTCGTCTGTTGCCCGGCGGCTCCACTGGGTCAGCTCCTGTTGTGCCAGGCGGCTGTCCTACGCCACCCACCGGTCGCCGACGCCACCCCTGCAGTCCGGCAAATTTGGCTGGCAGGTCTGGGCTCCTGTGTATTCAAGTTAAACGTCGAATTCATTGTCCTACGCCTAACTTGTCCGCATAAGATCATCACGGGGAGGCCGGCCCCGGAGGACCTGAGGTGTGTGATATCCCAGGAGCACCTGTGCATGAAATCCCCCACTCCGAATGGTGTCAGAGTTGCCAGGGGAGACCAGCGGATGGCGAGGAGCTGCTACCTGAAAGCTTGCAAGCAAATCGGTCAGAAGGACTCAAGGGTCCATAGTATCAACAACAAGGCCATGAAGTATGAGGAGGGTCAGCTCCGCACTGAATACACATTCCTGTAGTATATAAAATCCATAATATTTATTTCAGTGTATAAACTATAAACACCTGGGGGTTGTTTGGAAAATGGATTATCAGCCATTTTTTAGCTTGTTTGACTCAAAATAGCTAGTTGACTAGGTTAAAAAGTCAAAAATGTTGTTTGGTAATCAGATTGTTCATTCGGCTGATCCATTTGAAGAAGCCGAACATTATATTGAAAAGCTGGACCAGGCAGCGTTTAGGCATCCATTCGGCTGATCCAATTTTTTTTTACCGTTTATGCCCTGTGCCTTCTCATCCGTCTTTCTTTTCGCCAACTACAAAAAAAGCTGCATAATGTTTCTTGACTCTTTCTTCTTCTCATTTTTTTTCAATCTTTGTATCTTTCCATTAAGAGTATTCATTTTTTGTCAGTTTCTATTTTTGTATGCATTCTTTCATATATATGTTTCTAGAAAAGCTGAAGTATGAAATAATAGTGATTCCGAAACCCATTTTGAAGAGCTCTAAGCAAGAATTGAAGCTGTGTTTGATTGTATTTTCAGGATTTCTTTAATGTTTGTCATTTGATTTATTATACTTTTATTTTAAAATTTAATTTATTCTTTTTACATTATTTCAAATAAATTATTTTTTTCTTGATTAATTTTTTTAAATAAATTATAGTTTTAACATTATCACTATCAGCATTATTCAAATATTATATATATACTCATGTCCGTATGCGTCTTTTTACACTCAAACAGTTGTTTCACAACAACTAATTTTACCAAACATTTATTAATCACAAGCTAACATAATCATCCAATTAAATCAACTAACACAACCAGTTGTGATCAAACAGCTGACATAACCAGCTAACAGCTAACAAGGCCATGATAAAGGTCAAGTATAATCAATATGTTCATAGTCATTATGGATTTAATTGACGTATAGTCGTATAGAGCATAGGTGGGGAGTTAAGTGTTTGATTGAGACCGACCTACTAAACAAAATTTTGAAATATATAAAATTTGACTTTAAATACCTGTGCAATTTCACAAGTTTTATCCGTTCCTTTTTCAGCTACTATACGTCACACTATTTCAAATTTTATTAGTTCCTAGTATAGTAATCACATTCCTATTGATTTAATACAAGCCTTTTACGATAAAAATTATTAACTTTCAATATTCTGAGACAAGACTACATATATTTCACATATAATCTTTTGGGTTTAATTGTCTAAAAAAATCAAGGATCTATTCGTTCTTGTATAGCTTGGATATATTTGCTCATTCTTTTTAATTAGTTTTTTTTTTTTGCACCGTGCTGCTATTAATTTTTGTATATCGTGAGTTCACATTTTTTATTTACAGTTACTATAAAACGATAATTTTGTTTTTACATAAACTAAAAAATTAAACCTGAACTCAAAATCTTAAATAATTTGAATCTAAACACAATGATAATTTCACTTTAGTTGTCATTACAATCCTAATCATGAAGGTCAATTGTAAACAAAAACCATAAAAACCCTTAGGGTATGTTTGGTTCACGGAATGCCAGATTATCATGAGAATGTCAGATTGCTGGGAATGTTAGATTGATGGGAATGTATCTAATTTATTCCAATTTGTGTTTGGTTAAGATAAAGGGAATGTGATATTAATTTACTTGGTTGAAAGATCTCTTATATTGCAGATATGGTGAATTACTTCAATGCCCTTTAAATATTTTATCTTAAAACAATAAATCTATTACAACATACATCTAAAGTAATTAAAATTAAAAAAAATGAAATATCTTAATAATAAATAAAATCAAACCTAATTGAATTATTTTTAAGTAAACTATGTTTAATTGTAAACAATTGTAGATCCAATTCAAAAGTGAAAAAAACTTTTTCAATCTAAATATAGTTATTATTATTTCAAAAATAAAAATAAAAAATCATCAAGATATTCATAAAACTTCTTTTCAAATTAAAGAAAAAATGATCAATTTTGCCATTAAATTTTGAAATCCCCTCATCAAAAACTTAAATAATCTATAAGTCTTATAAAATAAATACCTTAAAAAATTTAAATGTTAACGAAAAAGAATTATGAAAATAACAAGAATAGACATTTGAATATAATTAAATAAACATACTCCATCTATCTTACTTAAATGGTTGTCACACAATCTACGATCGACTGACCATAAAATTAACTGATCTCTTTCAATAATAAGATTATTTTTCAGTAAATATAATTTACATATTTAGAAATTACATTAAAAGTTTTATAAAATCGCACTATGTAAAGAAATTAAATGAAAGGAGATAATTAATTGAGGATATTTTTGGAAGAAAATCAGACCATCATCGGGAATCTAAGATAACCTAAAACATGAGTGGTTATAAGATTCCCCTTCATATTACATTCCCAGGAATGTAACTTTTCCAATTTTTCCTCAAACCCGTGAACCAAACATGAGTATCTCACATTCCGTGCATCACATTCCGACCTTTATGTGAGATTACCCCAAACCAAACACACCGTTAAAGATAAGTAGGCAAATTTTGAGAAAAGACTTGAAAAAGGGGAAAATCACCCATCCATTTAAAGATAGCCCATTTCTCGAGCTGTAACTGGTCGTGCCTTTGGGCCCAATAAGACAGTTATATTTTCTCAGCCCACTCTGTATGTAAATGGACCAAAAGAAAGGGTCCAACTGTTGTCAAGCATAGCCCATTTGTTACTAGAGACAAATTGTTTCCGGTCATCGCCGGCGGAGAGACGGTCGTTAAAGCAGGCCTTTTGGGAGAAAATTCCGGCACAGGAAGGTCATGGACGTAGAGGCCGACTCCTCAAGCGTTCCATTGCCGGAAGCTTTTCTCGACTTTCTGAATCAGAATGGCTTAGACTCTTCGCTTTACGCCTCTTCGGATTCAATACCTCGCTATGTTAGGTTCCATTCTTCTCTTACAAAATGCCTGAGTGTGCCTTTTTATATGTGTGAGACTTATTATACAAACTCCAACATTTGAATTAGGGGACAAACTAATCAGGGTATATGTAATTCTTAAACAACATGATACTAGGATTGGTTTAGTTCCTGTACTAATTTCTTTTAATTTCAAGTTGTGTGTGGCTAAAACTTTTCTATTTTATTTTCTTATATCGTTGAAAAATGAATGTTGAGTTTTCTTCAACATTGATCTTTATTTGGGTTTCATGATTTCATCCCCACTTCAATAAGTTTCATCCCGTTAGGACTCTTAGCTCTCTTAGCTGGACAAATCAGTGTGAAATTAAAATGTCCAGGTGCATGGAAATAGAAGGAGCATAATACCATCTTGGATTGTTAAACGAGGAAAGCTGTTTATGAATTTTTTATACGTTAGTCTAGTTCTGTTGCAGTCTTCAAAACATTAACTATTTGTGTTGAATCTTTATTCAGGTTGAATGAGCATAAATTGCACACACATATAGGTTCCAATTACACTTTCGAGTCGTAAATATGCAGAATTTTAATGTGCAATATGTTCAAGATAAAACGTGCAATATGCCATTATTGCATGCGTAAGGTCTATTGTGTGAATGCAAAATTTGTTTCAAACATTAGTGTATGTGTATCACTTAGCACTTTTTTCATTGCGCTATTCATGAAAGATTCTCCATATTTAGAATCATATCACATTGATTTGGAGTTTAAAACTGATATCTTCCTTTCATTTGGGACCAAAATACACACACACATATTAATCTATGCATTCCTTTCTATATATACAATATAATGATGATGAACAATGTGGTGTCTGGCGTAGCTTACACAAGGTTTGTTTTGGAAGGTTAAAGCCAGGGAATGAGGCTGATGTAGAGGCAATTGAAGTCGACATTGGTTGTAAACTTCAAAAAGTGTTCTGGTTGCCGAATTTCTATTGTCTCGCACCTCATGTTAAAATAGCTAGCTCAAAGGCATACCAAAATGGAATGGTGAGTACTCCACTCCGTTAAGATAGTTTTCACTAGATCAACTTGGTTTAGGGCTTATGGGGGCATTTCTTTTGCAAATATCCTGGCTAATATGTATTAGATCATTATATTAATATTGATTTGTCTAAAGAGGGGTTTTAGTTATAAAGAGTATAGATGGAATGTTTTCCAACATGATTTACTCAACATTCAGATATATGGAATTGATGCAGCATCTGGAGCTGCAGTGTTAGCTTTGGACATCTCATCAGGAGATCACGTCCTTGATCTTTGTGCTGCTCCTGGTAATTGTTCTTTTTCTTGTTGTAATAATAACCATGTAAATGCATCTTGAGTTATCAGATGCCGCATCATGGAGCTCACTTATTAAGCTTTATCTTGTGGTAGCTATCTTAGCTTTAAGCTTGCAAACGGTGTCCAAAAATGCTTTGAAGGCCATAGTTAAGTAAAATTACTCCTAAATTACAAAAACAAAATATACAATATGTTGTACGGAGTAATATTCTATAATTAGGGGGTGTGCTATTCTGCATGCATAAGTTTAAGTAAAAAAGATAATTCTTTTGTGCATTTTATGTAAAATAGTAATATTTTCAGCCTGAGGGGGCCTTTTACTCTGGTCTTGGAAATTAAAATCTTATAGCCCACTTTTCCTGTTCCAATGGTATGGCACTTCTTCTGGTTGGTTGATATCATATTAATTTATTTGAGATGGGTAAAGCCGGCAACCGCGACAGATTTGCGGTTGCAGATAGTCGTTTCTTGCTCTATTCACTACTTTTGTCTAGTCTTTTATTATGCAGTTGTATTAGCTTTTCTACTCTATGTTTTGTTTTATAATTAGTACTCTTGTATTAGCTATATAAGGGTTATTTTTTTGGGCATAATAAATCGGTTTTACAGTGTTGATTCTTGTGTCTCTGACTAAATAGATCACCATCTCTCTGCCAAGGGTGAGAGATGTGAGTTAATCTGCCATCGTGATAGCCGTGTCTTGTGATTCTCTTCCAACTTCCTGGAGATCCTGGACAGGCTCTTATACGATTTATATTAATTTGGCAGCATCGTGGAACGATGAAGTCCTTCAATGAAAACATGACACTATGCCAAGTAGTTGTCAATCACTCCGCCTTGACCAACCAACATCCAGGCCTCTTTTGCCTCGATAAAGGCAGCAGTTTCGAATCTCATGAGTACGGTTCAGAAACTTGTGAATTGCGGCAGAGAAGTCTTCTGAGACAAACAGACAGTAGCCACAAAAATCCTCCGATTTTCACCAACGGAAGATGGATGACTTCTTCCTACTGTTATTAGAAACTCGAATTTCCGCCGGCCGCAGTGAGTAGCACATGCAACTCATTGACCCAATCAAAATTAATGCTATAATGGATTTGCCAACGCAGGGCTCTTTGGTGACCATATATTTTTTTATCTCACCGGGTACACTATTGAAAATTCATTCAAATGTTTAGCCAGGTCGTTAATCCAATTGCTGAAGAAAGCCATGTCGAATTTAATGCATAAAAACACTACTTGTTGGGACTTGGGATAAACGGGACTGGTGTGGCTAGTTGGGATAGCCAAGCCAGTTCTGTTAGGCAAGGCAGGCCATAAAAAATAGATTGAAACTAAATTTCAAGGAAAAAGAACCCCATTCTATTGATATTGAATATTCAATCTTCTATCCGATTATTTTAAATCGTAATGATGCCTACTTGAATCATTATATCTCTTGTCTCATCTCAATTCAGAGGGGTCATGGAAAGAACGTGTTCAAAATCATGATCAATTCCCTATTCAAATCAGGCTGCAGCTGCGCGAGCCCTTCCTGCGTGCCACAGATGACCTACGTAAAAGAAAAATCCTAGAACAAAATGTCCACAACGATGGTTCCCAGCATCCAGACTTCTAAAAACCATTTATTGTTGGCTGTGAAGCATTTGGAAGTGGCTTTGGGGCTGTCTTGCAGCAAGAGAGGCATCTTTCATCCCATTTCACAGTGAATCCCCATGTAAATGGTGACCAAAGCTGTCATGCAGTGGCGACCATATTTATGGCTGCATGATGTCTAGTTTGGGGCTTTGAGCTGTCCTTTCGAGTTTGAAGCACTAATTGGATCAATGTGGAATCACCTTCCAACAGCAACATTGGATGACTAAGTTGATGTGACTATGGGGTTCATTCTCCGCATTGAATACAAGCCTGCCCGCCTCAATTTTTGCATTAAATACGATACAAGCCTTGCTCCCCTGCGCAATGTGGCAGCTGTCTCGGTGGCATCACTCAGGATTCATCTCCACTTCCTATTGGCAGATATGTGGGGGGAGCAAGCTAAGATGCCTGTAATAATGAAGATCAGCATCGTATAAAAGCTGCCACGCTGGAAAATGCAACATAGAGTGGGTGTTTTGCAGCATATTAGTTTATTTCCATCACATACCATATCTCGCGGTCGCATTCACCGTCATTACTTGTTGTACATGTTCGCTGGAATCACACATGAGGCTATTTAAGCAACCCTCAAATGCATATGCTGGGAAGTTTTATTGGTCATCATCATCATCACCATCATTACCCCAGTGCCGCAAAGGCTCCCACCAACGGTGGGGTGGGAAGTTTTATTGGTCAAACATGAAAATTCAATGGGAAATTACATTTCAGGACTGTCAGTTCAAACAATAACACAAGTATTAAACTTCTACCTGTCAGATTGCTTTAGCCTTTTGTGATCCCCAAGTTCCCAACACATTTTAGATTGATATTTCTCTGGATTTCATTGAAGGGTTACCCAAGGTTCCAGTAAAGTCTGTTGCATTGGTGGTAGCAGGGACGGTGAGGTCACTTATCTCAAGCCATGCATTTCATTCCTCTTGGCCACCCATACAGTCATCTCGGTTTCGGTGGTTTTCCTTCTTCACGGGCTGCAGGTTCCACCAACTCCGACAGAGTTAAAATTTAATCAGTTCATTTTGACATGAGTTGTTTTCTTTATCCAGAACCAAGCCCACATTCTCATCCGCCTACCATCCCCAAATGGACGGTCAAACAGGGGTGGTCGCCACTTTGGAGATGCTCTTGCATTTCCCACTAGCGAGTATCCGTGCTTATGGTTTTGTTGGCTTCGAGCCTTATGTGGGTAGAGAAAACTGATATAACTCATCCAACCACATTGCCTTGGAAGACATCCATTTCCGCCTGGTTTATGGGTATGACCCGCCCAGGCTCATCTCCTCTATGCTGAGGGCTGCCAAATTAGGTGTTGAACACAAGCTTCTTGAATGGAATGAGATTGTGTCCACTGTCCACAGATGAGCCTGTTTTGTCCAAGCTCAGCAGCAGCATTTGACATGGACAGTAGACAATTTTTCATTTGAGCTCAAAGCATGAGTTTGACACTTTGACTTAGCTGCGAGTTCAACTTGGGATGCTTTTACTTGGACTGTAATTCATCCCAGATCAGACCAGACTTGGATAGTTATAAAAATACAAAGAAACCAGACCAGATTAGACCAGACCAGCAAATTACAGTCCAAGTAAAAACATCCTTAGTCCTCTGTCAACAAAAGTTGCTGCCAAAGTGACATGGACTGTTTCTGATACTTGCCCATGTGTGAGTATCTGTGAGACAGCAAGTCACACTGTCACAGCCATGAGGCCCTGACATCTCTCATGTTTGTCTCGAGAAACCACATCAGGGACCGCCATCTAACACTGTGGGGCCCCTTCCAATTCCAGAGGAATCACCAGAGGAGCCCGACCTTTGGCTGTACAACACAGCAGATAGAATTGGGGGTAGCTAGAAATATTGGTGCGCTGGCATAGGAAATTGGTGGAGGAAGCTGTGTGGAACTGTTCTGCTCAATTTGGTTTGCATATACCAACTTTATGCTTTATAGAAAGTTCCTTGACAGCGGGAGGGGGGAACTATGTTATGGATGCCTGTCCTACTTTAGATTTTTTTTTTGATAGTTTACCTAAATCCATCATGTTAGACAATGTTTTTTTACTCTGCTTTGGCAAAAATTTCAAGTAATTATCATTATTTGATCAAACAAGATTTTATGTATATCCTATCTCATTTTATATTATCTTTTTTATCATAGCTTATCTTTTTATCTTTCTTTTCCTTTTGGTTCCGATATCATGTATGAATTCATGTTAGTCAACCCTAAAATCTTTTGGGATTAAGGCTAGGATGTTGTTGTATTTGATCAAACAAGATTTTTTTTGGTATAAATAGCTTTAAAAACAGCTCTTTTTTTATGGATGTAGTAATGTACAATAACCAATCAGAATGAGTGGCACAACAATATGTTGGGAAAAGTATTACAGAAGATTTGGACTCATCCTAAAGGACTAATCTAATTCAGCCCAACCTAATCTCAGCTTTAAGTACAAATTTTAAAGTAACATTGTAAATATGTAGTTTACAATTAAGTAATTGACATTTCCCGATACAACATGGATTTTTTATTTCCATATTGTGATCCATTGCCGCTCGGTTTTCATTATACTACTTCGTATTATGTATTTAGGTATCTAATAAACCTAATGGTGACATTTATAATTTTGATGTCTCCCTACTAGGTGCTAAACTATGTATGATATTGGATAGTCTTGGAAGCTCTGGTTCTGTGTCCGGTGTAGATATTGCCAAACACCGCCTAGCAGCCTGTAGAAGCATGCTACTAAAGTATGGATTGGGTGATCGTTGTCGTCTATTTGTTGCTGATGGAACCACATTTTCACTTCTCCCTGTTAAAACCATACCGGTTTCAGAATCACAAAATCAATTGGGTAAAACATTACTAACTGATATGTTACTCACTCCCTCCCCCCCCCCCCAAAAAAAAAAAAAAGAGTTGTGATTGTAGAGGTACTCCTAAGTTATAAATTTTTGCAAGGTGAAAGTTTTTTATTCATTTCTTAGTTGATTTAACTAAATGTATCACAATTAGTTGTTTGTAACCATTCTTGCAGATTATTGGCAATTTACATGAAAAACTAGCTACATTTGATGAAATAATGAAATGGACTCATTAAAAGAAAATTACATGACTCTTTTTATGAGATGAAGGAATGGGGGGGGGGGGGAGTATTATATTCTATTTGTTCTATTACTATACCACTGACATTGATTCTGGATTGAAGAAGTATACAAGGAGTGGAAATCCCGGAGGCCATGGAAGGAAAGGAGAAGGGAGGCTTTAGCAAGGGAAAAGGGATATTCAAATTTTTCTTCACCAACTCAAGAACCAGAGCTTCTATTTTATGGGAAAAAATCTGGGGTAGTTGGGCTAACAAGAAATACACTGTATCAAAGGGTGCATTGTGGTAATGTGTATGAATTTGGCTATGATAAGGTATTTTCAAAGTAATACTTTCCCTCTTTATCGTTCCTTTGGGTGAATGTCAAACTATACTAGGGATAGAAAATAGAAATTATGTACGGGGCCTACGGGCTCAAGCGTAATAAATGTATTCCAAATATAACTTCACACCTATTTTACAGAAAGATTTGAGAAATCTTTCTGCAAGTACAGAAAAGCATTTTACATTTCTCCCGCCATGTTCCTAGCTATGGCCAAAAGTAGAAAAATAATTGTTCTTGACATTTTCCCCTCCTATCATTTTCTGGGATCCAAAAATACGTTTTGGGTAATTTAGTTGGCTCTATATATGCAATTTCAATTCTCTTTGTGGTAACCATTATCTGATTGGTCTTTATGTCAGGCAGGTTCTTGTGGATGCAGAGTGCACCCATGATGGTTCGATCAAACATATCCAAAAGTTCGAACAGTGGGGCTGGACAACCCTCCAGCGCCGTGTATTGGATGCAGAGAGGACTGATGACCTGCCCATCCTTCAGGTTTGAAAACTTAAATAAAGTGCTGCTCCCTCCGTCCCTGAATCATCTTCCGAATTTCCTTTTACGTCCGTCCCAAAATAATCTTCCATTTCCTTTTTTGACAAAGAATTTGTGGTTCACATCATTTCTTACACATGCTTACACATTTCTCTTTTCTCTGCACAACTCTCCACCACACAATATCCACTATTTTAATTCCTGTGCCAAATGTACTTTGGAAGATAATTTAGGGACGGAGGGAGTAGATGTTCCTTCCCTTGATAGCTATAACGAAGTTCGGAAAACTGCTTTTTAAGAACAAATAGCCATTATACAATGCTTAATAATTTCTTTACTTATGACGGGTGCTTCCTAGGAATTCGTTTGGTAATGTTTCCAGTTTTGTGTATTATATTATCCGTATTCAAATTTTTTCCTTTTTATTTTGTATTTAAATTTATTAAATAAGAATATTTGTTTGGTCTCCGTGATGTATATAACCAAATATATGCATTTATAAGAATTCCAAGTGTTCCATAAACAGTATGTGAAACAACGAAAAAAGAAATAATTATTTCAATATTTTTTCAAAAATCTGTTGTTTTGGTTTGTTTCTTTGTAGAAATCTGAAAACAAAAAAAAACACTTCTGCTTAAGTTTCCTTTTTCAGCAAAGTGAAAACAAAAATAGAAAACTTTACCAAATGACACCTTAGTGGTTATTTGGGCTCATACTTCCTCATGCGTTTTATATTTTTTACAAATTGGGTTTCTTGCAGCTTAAACTTTTAACAAATGGGTTCAAGTTGCTAAAAGTGGGAGGATTTCTTGTATACAGCACTTGCAGGTTTTGATGAGTAATGCTGTACTACTAATGGAGTTGCCTTTGGGCCCATTCTTAAGTATTGTTACTCATGAGTACATCTTTTTGTGTTATTTCTTAAACAGTTTAACTGATGCACAAAATGAAGATGTAGTGGATAAATTCCTTTCTGAGAACTCTTCTGCAGGTACACACTTTCTTGTCAATCCATGTTGTACCAAGTCACCCTCCGTACATGTGTACAGAAATGCTGCAAAATAAGCCAAATCCAGACACCTTACAACACCCACCGTCCTTAAAAATGAATTTTTTGATTTTTTTTTACTCTAGGGTGGTCTGGGGGAGGGGGCGTGGGAGCCTGGAGTAATCTGGGCTGAAAGTCACTCCATTGAGTTTCGAACCCTTACGTGCCTAGCGGGTTTCGAACTCGAGACCTCCCACTAAGCACGGTAACCTCACAACCAGCTGTGCTGGAATGCTTGGTTTCTTAAAAATGAATCAATTTCACTTTTTATCCCACAAAGTCATTCCTACTTTTGGCCCCAAACTTTTATTTTTCCACATATGGTCCTTCCAATTATCATGCCAATTCCTGTCCAGTTTCTTTAATTTCACTTTGATTTTCGCCCGAAAAGTTGCATGGACGCAATAAACGATCTATAATTGGGGACCAAATGTGAAAAATGAAAGTTAAAGACCATAAGAGATAAAAAAAAAGACCAAATGTAGGAATGTCCTAGTGATGGTGAGATCAAAAGTGGAATTAATTCCTTTAAATTTGCAAAAATACCCTTAGCACAAAACTCCCCCAACGGTGGATTTTGGCTCAGCTCTCTCTCTCTCCCCCCTCCCCCCCCTCCCCCCCAAAGCTTGCTTACACGTACACATGTGTGTGTGTCAAAGAGGGATATATTTGTCAATAACAGTTCTGTTTCTGATGATGGCCAGAGTTAGTTGAGATTGATGGTGCAAGAAACTGGCCCTGTAAGGATGGACGGATACCCAAAACTATCCGATTTGATCCTTTGATATCTGGCACAAGTGGTCTGTTTATTGCAAAGTTCACAAAAGTAGCGCTGTGGTGCGGAGTTCACTGATTGATGCTTCCAGCCTTTCAAGAGCTGATGCAAGTGTAATGCTTGGATTTCAGCCGAAAGAAATCTGAGCCTCAAAGCAGCCACACAATAACCAGAGTTACCCGTGTGACATATAAAGCTTATATATGTTTTTAGTCTACTCCCATATACAGTGTTTTCTATTTTAGGTTGTCGCAAGTTATTTATTTGGTTTTTTCATCCTTGGTAATTTTATGTTGGTTTTGTTATTTACTTTGACGATCCTAAGAATATCTGTTGATAGGGTTGGACCAATCTGGTTCTAATCCCCTAACCGGCTGGTCCTTAGGAATGCTTTATAGGAACAGGGATCTATAATTCCGGTTCTAGGTCCAGTCAACTGACCTATTCTACTCCAGTCCTGAATTATAATTAAAAAAAAAACCCACTCCACCCTTCTTACCTTTCCAATGGACCTCCACTCCTTTTCATCTACAGTACTTCCTAGTGGACGGAATGAAGAAAATCAAATGGGACCAGACAGGCCGGTTTCCAATTTCGGCAGCCCGAAGCCAGGATGGTAAACTCGCCCCCAGGCCCCAGTTCTAGGAAATGTCAGGCCCTGTTTACTAACAGAAATATTTTCCAGTTTTCCAGAAAACTGGAAAACTGGAAAACAGAAAACAGGAAACATGTTTACCAAAGAAATTCCTGGAAAATTGGAGAAAGGAAAAGAGAAAAACGCGTTTACCAAAACGGAAAAAATGAAACATGTCTCTCTTTTCCTTAATGATTTGGAGAAGTGACTTTTACTAGTTTTCCAAATTTGGAAAACGCAGATGATACAGTGCCTTTGCAATGAATTTGCATACTTACACCTAGTGGTGGGTCCGGTCCCGCTCCGATGTCGATTCCATTCCGGTACCTCCATCCTCGTACCTTACCCCTTACCCCTACCCTACCCTACCCACCAAACCCCCACCCCGCGTACCCATTTTTCCCTATAATGACCTTACCCCACCCCCACCATATGCCCCGACCTCGGCCCCACCCCGATCCACCCTACCCTACTGCCACCCCCTACCACCTTGACCCCACCTTGATCCACCCTACCCTACCGCCACCCCCCTACCACCTCGACCCCACCCCGACCCACCCTACCCTACCCCCACCCCTCATATATTACCACTTACCCCTACCTTACCCCTTATCACATGCCTCCTACCTCGGCCCCACCCCACCGCCATCCTACCCCCACCCTACCCTACCTCGGCCCCACCCGGATCCCGGGCCCACCCTACCGCCATCCTATCCCAACTCCCTACCCTACCCCTACCTTACCCCAACCCAACCCCTACCCACTACCCCACCCTTACCGCCATCCTACCCCCCCACCCTACCCCTACCGTACCCCAACCCCACCCTGGTCCCGACCCCACCCTATCACCATCCTATCCCAACTCCCTACCCTACCCCTACCTTACCCCAACCCCAAACCCTACCCACTACCCCCACCCTTACCGCCATCCTAGCCCCCCACCTTACCCCTTCCCTACCCCGGCCCCACCCTGGTCCCGACCCCACCCTACCGCCATCCTATCCCAACTCCCTACCCTACCCCTACCTTACCCCAACCCACTACCCCACCCTTAACCCTAACCCACCCACTACCCCACCCAACCCCCTACCCCTAGACCTTACCACCCCACCCCGACCATACCCCTTACCCCGCCCCACCCATAACTTCCCTACCTCGACCCCTACGAGTAGGTATGGGTGGGTATGAAGGGTTGTGGTGGAGTACAGGTAGAGTGTAAGATCGTGGTAAGGGTAGAGGTAAGGGTCAAGAGTGTGGAATTGGAGAACTCTGTGAAAAAATTGATGAACATGTTTTCAAATTTGAAAATGGAAAACTAAAAAATAGAAACAGAAAATTAAAGATAGAAAAACTGAAAAATAAAAATAGAAAATTGGAGAACGAAAAACAGAAGTAGAAAACAGGAAAATATCTCTGTTAGTAAACAGGCCCTCAGTATTTCTGTTTACTAACAGAAATATTTTCCAGTTTTCCAGAAAACTGGAAAACTGGAAAACAGAAAACAGGAAACGTGTTTACCAAAGAAATTCCTGGAAAACTGGAGAAAGGAGAAAAGAAAAACGTGTTTACCAAATCGTTTTCCAAAACGGAAAAAATGAAACATGTTTCTCTTTTCCTTAATGATTTGGAGAAGTGACTTTTACTAGTTTTCCAAATTTGGAAAACGCAGATACTACAGTGCCTTTGCAATGAATTTGCATGCTTACACCTAGTGGTGGGTTCGGTCCCGCTCCGATGTCGATTCCATTCCGGTACCTCCATCCTCGTACCTTACCCTTTACCCCTACCCTACCCACCCAACCCTCACCCCGCGTACCCATTTTTCCCTATAATGACCTTACCCCACCCCCCACCACATGTCCCGACCTCGGCCCCACCCCCGATCCACCATACTCTACTGCCACCCCCCTACCACCTCGACCCCACCTCGATCCACCCTACCCTACCGCCTCAACCCATCCCGACCCACCCTACCCCCACCCCTCGTAAATTACCACTTACCCCTACCTTACCCCTTACAACATGCCTCCTACCTCGGCCCCACCCCACCGCCATCCTACCTCCACCCCCACCCTAACCTACCTCGGCCCCACCCGGATCCCGGGCCCACCCTACCGCCATCCTATCTCAACTCCCTACCCTACCCCTACCTTACCCCAACCCCAAACCCTACCCACTACCCCCACCCTTACCGCCATCCTACCCCCTACCGCCATCCTACCCCCCACCCTACCCCTTCCCTACCCTGGCCCCATCCTGGTCCCGACCCCACCCTACCGCCATCCTATCCCAACTCCCTACCCTACCCCTACCTTACCCCAACCCCAAACCCTTCCCACTACCCCCCACCCTTACCGCCATCCTACCCCCTCACCCTACCCCTTCCCTACCCCGGCCCCACCCTGGTCCTGGCCCCACCCTACCGCCATCCTATCCCAACTCCCTACCCTACCCTTACCTTACCCCAACCCTACCCACTACCCCACCCTTAACCCTAACCACGACCCTAACCCACCCACTACCCCCACCCAACCCCCTACCCCTAGACCTTACCACCCCACCCCGACCATACCCCTTACCCCACCCCACCCATAACTTCCCTACCCCGACCCCTACGAGTAGGTATGGGTGGGTATGAAGGGTTGTGGTGGAGTATGGGTAGAGTGTAAGATTGTGGTAAGGGTAGAGGTAGGGGTCAAGGGTGTGGAATTGGAGAATTGTGTGAAAAAATTGATGAACATGTTTTCAAATTTGAAAATGGAAAACTAAAAAATAGAAACAGAAAATTGGAGATAGAAAAACTGAAAAATAAAAACAGAAAATTGGAGAACGAAAAACAGAAGTAGAAAACAGGAAAATATCTCTGTTAGTAAACAGGCTCTCATATTTTCAAGTCGTTTTGATTTATTTACAGAGAGCCAGTGAGACTCTAGAATGTGAATGATTAGTTTGACTTTAGTGAAAGTGTATGGTCCTGTAAAACGACATTTATAAATGGAGATTTGAGAGAAAGAGAGATTGCTTTTTGAAAAAGAGTAAAAGAGATAAAAAAGAAGAGTATTATTTAAAGAATTTGCCTTGGGTAGAAGTAAAATCTCAAAACGTTTGAAAATTTCTAAATATGACTATTATATTAGTAATAGTCATATTTGACAATTATTGACAATGACATTTTTGGCTTTTATTATGTTTTAAACATGGAGTTTTCCAAATTTTGAGCTAATTATTTTTATTTAGTGAATAAAAATATAATGGAATAAAGCAAAATGACTCATTAAACTGTCTGCGCTTCTTTGCATAGTTAGTTAAATACGGTACGGGAATTAAACGGGGTTTAATACGTACGTGTTTTATTCAGTAACAAGGGTGAAAAAGATGGTCAAAAATTCTTTGAAAAATACGTTGATACTTTAAAAAACGTGTGAATACGTATATGTGTATAATACAATATATGTTACAAAAATTAGGACAAAAAATACGGGATATTATTTTGAACATTCAAAGTATATACTTCACAGAATAAGATATATAGTAAAAACAAATAAAAGTATACACATATTCAAGTAGCATATCTCATTACCACACAAAAGAATAATTTGTAATTTCATAAGTCGATGAAAAAATAAAAATAGTAATCAAGTCCAAGACATAATTTTGTAAAATAAAGTCAAAAATGAGGAGTAAAAACAATAGAATGAGACTAACTTAAAATCATTGTCTTTGTATGATCATCAAATAACACTCAAGTCAAACTCATGATTTTCATCAAGATGATGAATGACATATGAGAAAAGTACGTTGTGCGACTGATACACTTATTATTGCTTGTGTGTAAAAGCTTATACTAAAAATATGTTAGGTTTAGAAAAAATCTTAATTTTGATATGATATCATCATAAATCCAATAGTAGTTCAAGTTTTGATCTTTTAGGAAGCTAGCTTTAGTCACCATGGAAATAATTTTAGTGATTGATAATTGCATTGTAACAATACAAAAACATGGGGTTACCGGTTACTAGGAGGAGGTTTCTTTTTTGCTTTTAAGCTATTGTTGATCTCATATGCATTTTATGCACTAATTCAATTGGTCAATTCATGTTTCTAGTTTTTGTAAAATACGGAAAAAATACTTTTTATATGGGAAGACGGGAAGTGGGAGTTTTTTTCCCTTTTTAAACGCACCGACATTATTTTTCGTTTTAAAACGCGTTTTTTTAATCAAAAAAACGGTACGTGTTTAAAACGCATTTTAAAACGGAAAAAAGCTAACTAGGCTTCTTTGTTATGAAACAGCAGTCAGTCCATACAATTTTTGGACGCGATTTTCACTATGGGTCATCTGGAAACAGTCTTTTTATGCTTTAGTACAGGGATAAGACTGCGTACATCCGACTCTCCTCTTACCCCCACTGTAGGTGGGAGCCTTTGCGGCACTGGAGTAAATGAAAATGAAAATGATGAGTGAATAAAAATATAGTAGTCATATTTTCAAAATTTAAAGTGTTTTTATTTGTATTTTGAAAAATTTCCCTCTTATTAACTCGATTGATGAAAAGTTAAAAAAGGTGTAATTTCTTAAAAAAGGTGTATTTTAACATAAAATATTCGTATTTTGGAAGATAATGACGGTATGATTAGTAAAACAGCTTACCATCAATTAATGTAATAGTGAAGTCATTGCTTTTACAGGACCCCCCCCCCCCCCCCGAATATATTACGATACCGCCCCCAGGCCCCAGCTATATCACAGTTTTTGGGGCCTTTTGGCACATTAAAAATTTTGAAACTCGAAAGACATGCAAAACTGTATGATCATTCTGAGTACGGATGGACTGGGTCCGGGCCAGTCCGGGTTTATACCGGGATCGGGCCGGGTCGGGTACAATCCTTTTTTTATTTGTCTACCCCCACCCTCTTATCCCAAACCACCCAGCTCCATCCACTTAGCAGCCAATCGATGGGAAAAAATTGGGGAAAAAAATTGGGCCCAGCCAGTCAGCTTTTTCCTCAGCCCGTAGCCCGCCCCAAATACTCCCGGTTCGGACCCCAAGTCCCTGTCCCGGTATTGGTTGACCAGACCGGGTCAGACCTGCACAGTATTGGGCCGGTCGGGCCAACCTGTCCCAATCCATCCCTAACCCCGAGGCCCCAGCTATATCACAATTGGCACGTATAAAAAATTTGCAAGTCACTTTGGTTTTAGTTGTATATTTATCAATGCTTTAAATGCGAATGACATTATGATTATGATTATCCTTACTTTTCGAAACAATAAATCATTAACTGTTTTTAAATAAATAAATAAATAAATAAATGCAGAACCTATATTTTTTGTATAAATAATCTATTTTCAATGTTCAAATACTATCCTCCGTTCTCTTTTAATCGCAACATTGGACTTTTTGCACTATTCACGTATTCTATTTTGACTATATTTTATTCATTAATGTATTATAAATTATTTTTTAAAAAAATATTATTAAATTCTTCTCATTCTAAATTTTCAAAATATGAATTTTTTAAATTTTTTACTAATAAGGAATGAAAGATATTAATGGTCAAACTTGTGCGTTGGCAAACGTGAAATGTTGACTGTTGCAATTAAAAGGGAACGGAGGAAGTATATCATAATAAACTACATAATTTGCATTTCTTTCATGAGGTATAGTATCACAAATGACTCTTTTGTTAGTTTTTTAACCTTAAGGTTAGCTAATGGTTGTTAGGGCAACCACATTGATTCAAAAGCTGGCAGTGCTAAAATGGTGATGGTGATGAAAAGGGCAAAAATTTGCTGATGATAGAAGCCGATAGCTGACACGCCACCGCCACTGCTGGGACTCGTCGGATGTCCTCCCGATGTCCTCTGACTGCATGCATTTAACATTTATTTATGTGTTGATCATATTCACCATACGTACATATATATAAATGGGGCACAAAACAAGCTTTAATTAAGAAATGAACAAACCCCCATAGGTCCAACTTTCCTTGTCTTTTGGGCACTCTTATAAACAGGGACGGATCCAGGATTCTGAGTCAAGGGGGGCGAAATTTTTCGTTAATGTAGGGGGTGAATTTTTTTTCGTTAGTGTAGCGGGGTGAATATTTTTCCCCTAGTGTAGCGGGGCGAAATTTTTTCGCTACTGTGGAGCTATGCGGCTATTTTTATTCAAAAAATGACATTAATACATGCACATCCCGAACGGCATTTAAATCTAATACATTTTAAGTTTAGACGATGACAAAGACATCAACCAATACATTTTTAATAACTTCTACATTGTTTAACCTCATAAATCGGTTATTGAATTGTAATTTTTGTCCACCAAGGAGGGTGTTCGTGAGTCATGACTCATGAGAAGTTTTCTTAATATTACAATAGTAGTATACTAGTATGTATGAGATTGTTATTTTTGGAATAATGTGCACCACACACACACATATATATGGCGCATATTATATTTTAATATTTTTATTAATTCTATAATAATTTAAAGTTTATTATCCATGCAATAAATTATTTTCAGAAACCAAGAAGTAAATGAATTATGTAATCTAATGTCTATAAATATTTATATCTTGGATTCATTTCACGTGATCTAAAAATTGTGTAATTAGTGTGTCTGGTATTTAATATTGTTTGATATATGTTTTACAAAATCCAGTACTTGTTATCTAATAAAGATAATTAAACATTACAAAACTAGGAATTCTTATATAATAAGTATCCTAAATCTTAAATAACGAGTTACTCTATTGTTTATTTGTTTCAGTTATGTAAATTATTTTAAATGTTTATTCTTTCAAATCTCCAATTAAGTATTACATTATGTAAGACTATATACTAACTTTGAAAATTAAAAGCTAAGGGGGGCGAATCTAATTAAATTATGAAAGTTTTATGAAAATATTACATATATGGTAAAAAAAATTGAATGTCCAAGGGGGGCGGTCGCCCCCCCGCCCCCCCCCCCCCCCCCCCCCTAAATCCATCCCTGCTTATAAAACTATGCTTTATTTCATATAGTAAAACTATGGGGCAAAAGAATATAGTGTTAACTTTGTTTCATATAGTACTATTGTGTGGTCAATATTACTCTATCAATTTCCAACTCTTTTTATATCTCTAAATACACTATGTTTCGTATAGTACTATTGTGTGGTCAATATTACTCTATGAATTTCCAACTCTTTTTAGATCTCTAAATACACTAGACAAAAACAGTGTTAAAATGGATGCGATGAACATTATGACACATCTTTGGGGAGAGTCCATATTTCTCCTAATAATAGAAATGAACCATACATTGTTAGAGAACTACACATTATCTTGAAATGATAGACTTCAGAAAGCATTGAACAACAAAACGAACATAAACTCTGATTTTTTTTTGAAAAGATAAACTCTGATTTTTTATGCAGTCCAAAAACACCTATATATTGAGGATGAGGTTGTTGGTTCAAAAGTGGAAACTTTACAGCATATCAGTGATATTAAATCATTGAGTTTTAAGAACAATACTCTAGTAATGCCGGGTAATGGATGTGAAGGTGTTACCAGGGGCATAGCCAAGATCGAAACTTGGGATTGGCCGGTATAAAGAACTTTTTCACATAAATTTTACACATATTTTACACTAAAAATACAAAGGAATTTTAAATTTGGGGTGGACCGGAGCCCGATCGGCCCCCCTCTACCTCCGCCCCTGGGTGTTACGACTTACTAACGTGAAACAATTTTATTAAAAGTTTACATGAGAAGGAAAAAAGTATGTCTTCTTTCAATTAGGATTTAGGGACCTTTCAAAAAAAATTTAGAGACACTAACTAGAGCAATGGTTGTTAACACTTAGCAGTTGAAATGAGATTTTAGCCATGGACCATGGTTGACACAATAAGCCAAACTAGCTGAGACAAGTAGTTGAAAAGTTCGTTTAAACTAAAAGCTTGTAGCCACTACGTTTCTAATATACATTTGGTAAATATTAATTATTATACTATCGTATTAGTTAACAAAATATACTTTCAAAATAAAAACGGGGGTTCAATCTGTTTAGCTTATTAAGTATGTTTGTACTTATTCGATAAGCTGATTCAGAGGCCGTTTGGCAACACTGTTTTTCGGCTTATTAGGCTTATCAGCCAACTTTTTCACCAAACACGTAACTTTTGCTTTCGTGCGCTGAATTGTATAATAAGAAAAGGTAAGGTTGGAGTTACTTTTCTGGCTGTATTGGCTGAAGTTACTGTAGATGACCATTTTAGCTATTTTTACATATAATTTTTTCTTTATTTTATAAATAAAATATATTTTAAAGATAATTTTTTCTTCAACCAGCAGAATCAGCCAATGCAGTCACTTCAGCTAGAACTTCATAAAGTTCAGTAGAATCAGTCAAAACAGCCGATTTTGGTGCTACCAAACGGGCTCTCAATATGTGATTTGCAATTATGTGACTCAAGTTTGGCTTAAATATACTTTTTGTCTTTGTGCCTTTCTATTTTAAGCCCCTCTAATTTTTTAGTTTTTATGCCAATAGTTTATAGTTGTGTTTAATTTTATGCGAATAGTTTTTCCATCATTTGCAATGGAGGCAAAAACTAACTATTTTTTTGTTTGAGAATATGATGGAGTAAAGCAAAATGACTCACTAAACTATCTACACTTCGTTGTTATGAAGAAATCATTGTTATTAAGAAACAGTCAATCCATGCAATTTTGACGCGATATTCACTATGGCTATTTCAGAAACAATCTCTCTTTAGTATACGAGTATGTTTGCGTACATCCGACACCCCTATCACACCGTAGGTGGGGGGAGCCTTTGCAGCATTGGGGCGATGATGATGATCAAATCCTAATTTTAACTTAGTTTTAAGGTCACTAATAGACTGCAACCAAACACCATTCATCTATTAACTATCTTTGTTCCTTCTCATGTCATATTTGATACTACCTCCGTCTTTCTAACATTGAGACATGAAGAGGTGATGCATTTATTAATAAAAATGAGTTTATGTGATTGATATTGAATTAATCAAGTAAGAATAAAGTATGAATAATTTGAAACTACAAAAACATACGAAGTATCAAATTTAGCGGGACGGATGGAGTCATAATTGTGTGTTTCTCGTCAGTTAGCCGTATAACTCTAAGTCTCTAACGAGTGACAATTTCGTATGTCCAAAAGTAGTGGGACTAAGGTCCCTTAGTATAAAATCCGAAATCAAAGTTTAAATCTGCAGAGTTATGTAAGCGTAAGCGAGATCATACTTCGTATATGGTAGTAAAAATGAAAAGAATTTGTTCGACAAAGTTTTTTTTTTAAAGATTTTATATTTACAAAAACTAAAAATGTACTCCGTATTTGAACTTCAAGACCAATCATAAAAATGATAAAAAATTCAAATCCATAAGAAACTAAAACTTTCATACAACCTTTTCTCAAAAGGAGAAGATATATAATAAGTTTTTGAAAGGGTCAAACAGAAAAGAATAAATAACTTTAGAACTAAATTCAAAGTTCGAATATTTGTCTTTCTCCTTATTTCATACACAAAAAGTTACTTTTGATGGAATAATTTTTAGGAAAAAAGCTACTTTCTCGTGGCTTTTTGTGAGAAAGAAGTAACCTATGACAGCACAAACATAGGATTGGTTAAAAGTTGTCTGTGAGTATAGCTTTAACCTTTTTCATAATAAGGTGTAGAATTCAATATAATTCTTAGCAAATATACCAATGGTTCAGTAAATAAGTTGCATGGACTCCACACTCTACTATCAAGTGCAGTGTAACTATATCGTAGTTTAAGTCTATTAATTAATAAACTGATGACTACCCGCAACTCATCGAGGATCTTTTGTTTATTTAGAATTTACTTTAAGTTTGAATATTTGTCTTGCTTCTTATTTCATGCACAAAAAGTTACTTTTGTGGGATTTTTTATTTAGGAAAATAGCTACTTTCTCATGGCTTTTTGTGAGAAAGAAGGAAAGAAATGTAATGCAACTCAAGTGTGCTTTAAAAGAAAGAGAAATTAAGATGTGACATTGTTCTTTAAAAAGGATTTGGAGTGAACAATTAGGGCCTGTTTACTAACAGAGATATTTTCCTGTTTTCTACTTCTGTTTTTCGTTCTCCAATTTTCTGTTTTTATTTTTCAGTTTTTCTATCTCCAATTTTCTGTTTCTATTTTTTAGTTTTCCATTTTCAAATTTGAAAACATGTTCATCAATTTTTTCACACAGTTCTCCAATTCCACACCCTTGACCCATACCTCTACCCTTACCACGATCTTACACTCTACCCATACTCCACCAACCCTTCATACCCACCCATACCTACTCGTAGGGGTCAAAGTAGGGAAGTTATGGGTGGGGGTGGGGTAAGGGGTATGGTCGGGGTGGGGTGGTAAGGTCTAGGGGTTGGGGGTTGGGTGGGGGTAGTGGGTGGGTTAGGGTCGTGGTTAGGGTTAAGGGTGGGTAGTGGGTAGGGTTGGGGTAAGGTAGGGGTAGGGTAGGGAGTTGGGATAGGATGGCGGTAGGGTGGGGTCGGGACCAGGGTGGGGGGTAGGATGGCGGTAAGGGTGGGGGGTAGCGGGTAGGGTTTGGGGTTGGGGTAAGGTAGGGTAGGGTAGGGAGTTGGGATAGGATGGCGGTAGGGTGGGGTCGGGACCAGGGTGGGGCCGGGATAGGGAAGGGGTGGGGTGGGGGTAGGATGGCGGTAAGGGTGGGGGTAGTGGGTAGGGTTTGGAGTTGGGGTAAGGTAGGGGTAGGGTAGGGAGTTGGGATAGGATGGCGGTAAGGTGGGGCCGAGGTAGGGTAGGGTGGGGGTGGGGGTAGGATGGCGGTACGAGGGTGGGGGTAGGATGGCGGTGGGGTGGGGCCGAGGTAGGAGGCATGTGGTAAGGGGTAAGGTAGGGGTAAGTGGTAATATACGAGGGGTGGGGGTAGGGTAGGGTGGGTCGGGGTGGGGTCGAGGTGGTAGGGGGGTGGCGGTAGGGTAGGGTGGATCGAGGTGGTAGGGGGTGGCGGGTAGGGTAGGGTGGATCGGGGTGGGGCCGAGGTCGGGGCATGTGGTGGGGAGGGGTAAGGTCATTATAGGGAAAAATGGGTACGCGGGGTGGGGGTTGGGTGGGTAGGGTAGGGGTAAGGGGTAAGGTACGAGGATGGAGGTACCGGAATGGAATCGACATCGGAGCGGGACCGGACCCACCACTAGGTGTAAGTATGCAAATTCATTGCAAAGGCACTGTAGCATCTGCGTTTTCCAAATTTGGAAAACTAGTAAAAGTCACTTCTCCAAATCATTAAGGAAAAGAGAGACATGTTTCATTTTTTCCGTTTTGGAAAACGATTTGGTAAACGCGTTTTTCTTTTTTCCTTTCTCCAGTTTTCCAGGAATTTCTTTGATAAACACGTTTCCTGTTTTCTGTTTTCAAGTTTTCCAGTTTTATGGAAAACTGGAAAATATTTCTGTTAGTAAACATGCCCTTAGTTTTCTCAAAGTCAACATTATGAGATGAATAGTCATCTAAACTATTGCTCGCTTGACCTCGAAGAAAAGAAAGTTAAAATGATGCAGTTGAGGTTGATTAAAAAGGAAAATTAATTAATTAGTACAACGTATAACTTTTTGAAAAAATGTAGATAATTTTACGGCGAAAACAAAATTAATATTTCCGTCTATCCGTCCTTTTTTTAGATTATGTTGACATAGGGCTTTTAGGGGATCGAGCTAATCCCAAACATCGAGAGCTCATAGTCACTCAGTTGAGTAATAGTGGTGTTTGAATTCAAGCTCGAAGTTCGACAAAATGTACAAATGGGACTCATATTCGGGTTTGATATATGTTCCATTTTTACCGAGCACACAATAAGCTTGATTCTGGAAACAGTTTTTCTGTACTTTAATACGGGAGTAAGATTGTGTACATCCGACCCCCTTTTACCCTACCGTAGTTGTGAGCCTTTGCGGCATTGGGGTAATGATGACGATGACGACTCGATAAACTTGATAAATATGTTCAAATTTATAAGTTTAGTTAACTGTTGTTATTAGATTTGTGCTTGAATAATTCAATAAATGCTCAATTTTCAATAGTCATATTGAAATTTATAAAATCGCTTAAAACGTTTAAATTTTAACATATACTCTGTATTTAATTTATCCTTGTAATTTCAGTGGAAAATTCGGCTCGAGATTGAAATGAATTGAACACTTCTACATTATGATATAGAACGTAGAATGTAGAATCTCGAACTTAAGATCCGGCTTGTGTTCATGTTTGAAACTCAATAAAGGAGTGTTTGCAATTGCTTCAACTTTAAAAAAGTGATTTTTTTAAGTGATTTTGAGAAAAGTGATTAATAGTAAAAGTTGGTAGTGTTTGAAAAAAAGTGATTCTGAAAAAGTAAAAGTTCGTGGTGTTTGATAAAATAAGTACTTTTTGTGTAACAGAAAAAATGAGAAGCAGTTTAAAGCACCCTTCTACCTGCTTCCAGCTTTTAGGTTTTAAGTGATTAATTTAAGCTGAAAACACTCTTTTCAGTCTTTTTTTAGTCAAAAGCTAAAAAGCGCGCTTTTTAATCAATCCCAAACACTCCTTAAGTAAACTCGTTTTGTTAGATTTGAAATGAATCCCAAACTATAATAGTTTGAAACTAAAATAGTTTAATTTAACATATATGCACATAGGGGCATGACTCGTTGAAATTGAAACACGCCCGAATTCGCTCATGATCAAGTTTAATTGGTATTTGGTAGTTTATAATCATCTGGTTTAATCAGAAAATGCCAACATTGGATGATGAGTAACCAGTAACATAAATGGCACACAGAAAAATAAAATATAAGTAAAGTTTAAGTATATGACTAATTTAATCCAGGTTTTATTTGAAGATCTCTATGAAACATACTCTCTCCCTCTCCATAATTTGTCAAATTTGATAGAGACATGAAATAATTATATGTAGAACAGTGTACTTCAAATTTTAAAAAAATTAATGAGAAATAATAGAAATCACAAATTTATAATCTTTACTAAGTATTTTTTACTCAATGATATTCACGAGCTGAGTTTTGTCATAAATGAAACAAGTAAATTTGAAGTTTCTTATCTAATTGAATTGGCTAAATTTATTTAAAACGATTTGTACTACACTACTACTAGTCTACTATGTACGGAGTATGTTTTTACATTTTTTTTTATTAATAGAATACTGTATATTAATCCCTCTATCCCATTTTACTTATTTTACTTTCTTTTTTAGATTGTTCCAAAATAAATGTCATCTTTTTCTTTTAGAAAGAAATACATAGTATGCGGTTCACAACATTTCACTTTATATAATATTCATCAGTCAATTTAGTCCCGAAATATCATCAAATTCACCAATTTTAGTATACTGTCAAAAATATATACCTGGTGGCGGGGGAAGAGGTGGGGCAGAAAGTAATGACGTAATCCGCGGAGGCGCAAGTGAAGGTACTGGTCGAGTCGTCGTAAGCATAGCTGTACGCGCGTGGGCACGCGCTCTTGAAGTTCACAGCGTAATTGCTGGGGCGGCACGTGTCCGGAGTCGCGTAACTTCCAGAGCAGCAGTACTCGGGCGTGCCAAAGGCGAAGCACGCGCTCTTGCACCCCACCACCTTCCGGCGGCCGTCGAGCAGCCGCAGCTCCGCCGGGCAAACGCGGTCCATATCGACGGCGCAGCCGATCTCCGTACAGTTCGGGTGCCCCTGGGCCCCACCCGTGGGGGCCACGAGCATAGGTAAGTTGTAACCGTCAACCAGGCTCACGTCAAAAAAGTCCAACCCGTCCGACCCGTTGAGCGTGAATTCCGCCAAAGTCGCCGGCGGTTGTGCTCCATTTCCATTACACTCCTCCGCCACGGAATCGCAATCTCCGCTGTCGCAAGTGAATCTCCCGGTGGTGGCGTCCGGCGAGCAGCCGGTCCGTCCCCATAGCCGGCCGGACCAACCCGCGGGTAGAGCGATGGCTCGGGATTGCCCGTTTCCCAGAGAGAATCCGGTGGTCTCAGGCATAGGTGCTCCGGCGTTTGATAAAATTCCAGGCCAAATTGTATCGCTGCACTCGTTGACTATGGTAAATGTCGTCGGAAAAACAGGGGAAAACAGAGAAATGAAGCAGAAAGAGAGAATGGGAGAGAAAGGGCGAAGAAATTTAGCCATGGATGGGTGAAAGTTGGGGAGGAAGATGATTTTTGCGAGTATCTAGAGGGATCGGAGTGGAGTGATGGGCGGAAGACGTGAAGGATTGCCGGTAATAGCAAGGTATACGATTTACGGAGAGTTTTATACACATCGTATTTCGAAAATCGAAACTGCGTTGAAAGAATAAACTGGATTAAAATTTTCTAAAAGGCTAGACAATTGACACATATATGGGGGCGGACCCAGGAAATCCGTTATGGGGTTCAATTTTTTTTTTTTTGGGGCGAAAATTATTTTTTGAGGGGGTAAGAATGATTTTTGGTATATATGCCCTAGAATTTCTTTTTGTTGGGGGGCGGTTGCCCCCCTGAGTCTGTATTATGGTCCGCCCCTGTATGCCGTCCTCGGGATCCATGGATAAGAAAAATGAAAAAAAAAACATTTTCAAGGAATGACGTTTAGCACAAAAATGAAAATGTTGTTTCATAAATAACTGTGCCGTCTGTGCGGACATCATGTTTTTGAATTGAATTGCTAAAAAAAACAATATGTGGATGTTTGGGTTAACATTTTGAAATATGGTGTTGTTAACATTTTGAATTGAATTGCTGAAAAGGAAACGATGCGAAATTGCGAATAGTAGATGTTTGGGTTAACATTTTGAAATATAGTGTTTTTCACTAACTTATGTGGATAAATAATTGAATTATCAAACATTTTCTCGCAACCTGTCAACTTATTGCGTTAGTCAAAGCCACTTATTGAATCCTCTATTGATAGTCTGCTAACATAACCTAGTATCCTCCTCTAACCGCTAACCATTAAATGTCGAATATACTTATGATTTTTTTAAGTGTATATGCCAAGGGAAATTCTATGGTGCACCTCTAAATTTTGCATGTATGGTACACTTTCTTATGTAGACAAATAAAACAATGTCACATGGACATTAAATCCATATATATTTTAATTATTTTCCATGTGGTACAATATTATTGGCCCCCTATCGTACAATCAAATTAAGGGGTGCACCATAGAACTACCCATATGCCAAATGGTAATTGAAGTCTAGGCTTCAAAAGAATATGAAGAAAATGAATAAAAATTTAAAATATAAAAAGTATCCAAGAAACTTTCACATTTTTAGCCCATTCACATTATTTCATCTTTTTATTGTCCTAGATGATCAACTCTTTTTTCTTGAAAGACTAGGGATGTTTTTAGTTGGACGGTAATCAGTCCTAGACCGGACCAAACTTAGGTAATTATAAAAATACAAAGAGATCAGACCAGACCAAACCAGACCAGCAAATTAGAATCCAAGTAAAAAGATCAACTCTTGAAATAACAGTTTTTTATATGCTCATATCTAAGTAGATCGTTTTTTAGTTATTTCAGATTTACGTTTCTCCCTTGTGACTTTCTTAGAACCAGGGGCGGATCCAGGATTTCATGTTGGGCTGGGCTGAAACACTTAAATAATAATACATTGAAAATTTTCAAAATAAACAAAAAAAATCAAATATAAGAGTTCTCCATTAAATTTGTTCTCAACGAGGCTTTGAAACAAAAAGAACTCATCAACAATAGAGTCTACATCTATACTAAGAGTAGTGTCTTTTTCAGTATAAAGTCATCATCCATTTTGTTGAGCAGTGCTGCCTTTAGAAGTTTCATGGCATAAAACGAGTGTTCTAATTTTGCAAAAGAATAGTAAGTTCAATAAAAGGAAAATCAATCTACTCATCATAACATATGAATCAGATTTTCTGCTCTTAACCAACTCCTCACATAATTCAACAAATGTAGATACTAAAACTTTGTACATGAATACATCATGAACATAGTGTTGCAGCTCGAATTCCAAAGCATGAATGTCCTGACTACTAAAATTTTCAGGATAGAAATTCCTTGCAAGAGTACAAATAACATCGACATTGGATGACCCATATAAATTTTTGGGATCCAATGAAGCACTCAAAGAAAGGAGTTTTACTGATTTATCATTAAATCGGGTCCTTAACTCCATCAATACAAAGTCTATTGCCTCATTGAAAACACTAAAGTGATAATGACGTTCAACTGTAGTTTCTTTCTGCAATGACCAACCGTATATTCAAAATCCAACTTCGGTACATGAATTTCATGTTTTGAGCAAAACTCCTTTACTTCTTCAAGAAAGCCTTCCCATCCGTTTTTTGTCAATTCCTCTAGAATGATCGGTTGTGTAATGGGAAAATGTCTCCCATGGCTAACAAGATATCAAATAAAAAATTTCGAAGGCCTTGACAGAATTCATTATTTCCATAACCAAGCATTCCAGCCCAGCTGATTGTGAGGTTACCGTGTCTAGTGGGGGGTCTCGAGTTCGAAATCCGCTAGGCACACAAGGGTGCGAAAGTCAACGAAGTGAGTTTCAGCCCTGATTACTCCAGGCTCCCCTAGCCCCCCTTCCCCCAGACCCCCCTGGAGTAAAAAAAAAGTAAAGGATCACAAATTCAAAACATGAAAAGTGTTTATGTACACTACGAACTTATGCCCAAGAACTCACTTTTGGGCAATGTTTTTGAAGATACTCAAGCACTTTAAAAGTTGTTGTGAACATGTCAATAAAGTCCTTATATGTATATACTAAGTGCCAATTATCAAGTATGAGGGTGATGTGTATAACATTTAGATTAGATTTTTAGATGTTAAGATTTTGTATTATGGGCTGGGCTGAGAAATTGGACTGGGCTATATAAAATTTTGGGATGGGCTGGATGCAATTTTTTAAACATAATACCTTAAAAATAATTTTTTTTACTTTGCCCTGGGCTTCAGCCCACCATAGCCCTAACACTGCTCACACATATACGGATGGAATGATTCTTATGAAAATCAATCTTTAAGTAACCACTTTTAATTTATTCTATCTATTTTCAAACCAATGACTAAAATTGTAAAGAGTGGTATTTTGTTATAATTATTTTAGAATAATACGTACAAAGAAAGTCTCGTTTGAATTTAGAATAGTATAAAAAATACACCTTGAATTTATAAAAGAACAATATCTAAAGTTGTCATAATAACGTGTTCTGATTGTAAGATAAGTTCTCACGTAAACCTCATGTGCGCGTATTAAGGAATTAGATTAAAAGTTGTAATTATAAAGTTTACTTACTGTAAGGTTAGTTCTCATATGAACCCTTGTGTGTATCTTAGCTACTTGAGGGTAGTGGTCTGTACTTAATTGATTGGTATTTCAATATCTAACCACAGCTAGATTGAAAGTTCAAGCGATTGGATAGAAAAAAGTTTGTATCTGAACATTTCTATATACAAACATGTACATACATATATGGAATAAAGTTGAAGTTCAAAATATGTAAACCTTTTATGTACCATGTTATATGGTAAGAAATGCAATGTTTCCCAATAAAAGTAAGCTTAGGTGAAAAGACAATATATGTCAACATGACATATAGAAATGAGAATAGGGAAATGACCCATTGTCCAAACTTTTTTTTTTTTTTTTTGGTAATACCCATTGTCCAAACTTTCTCAGCACGAAAGGCTTTTCTCCATACCAACATAAGCCAGCAAGGCAGTCCTGAACAAAGGCTACAACCGGTGGCAGATTTAGGATTTAAGTTCTAGGTGTTCAATTTTTTTTACCATTATAACTTTAAAGAGTAATAAATAGATATACTAAATTTACCGTACTTGCACGTTTCTCAAAAGTTTGGATGTTCATGTGAACACTTTGGATCAAGTGTGGCTCCGCCATTGACTACAACTAGGCTCTCCTAACAAATATGAATGGCAACCCAATTTGTGTGGTTGGTCCCATGAGAAATGCTCATGTAGGTGAACAAGTCTTTTATGTGTTGTACTAGCCAATTTAAATGTCCATTGTTGTGAAGTGAGAAAGGGTAGCATACCATTTATAGTGTGAGGTAAAGCTAGGACTCTTAGTGATATGCAACAACCCTTATAAATGATATGGTGAGTGCAGAATACACTTGATGAAATCACTTATATTATATCAATGTGAAGTGGTGTTGTTTATATGTAGTATTAACAACACTTATAGAATTCTAAAAATACTAGGCATGAGCACAACCGCACTCCAACGTCAACAATGAAAAATTATAGGAGTATAAAACGACCAATAAGATCTTGATTTACCAATAAGTTATTGATTCATTCATACAAATCATACGTTTTTCAATGAACTCGATTTATTAGGATTTAAATGTTTAGATTTGATTAATATTTAATAGTCCAAGACGTACACGAAATTAAAAAATTTCACTCATTTATAAACCTAGCAAATCTTTTATTTTTAACCACTTCAAATTACTCATTTGAAATATGTGAGAGATTGATTAAATAAATTGAGACTATTTCAAATAAATAAAGTTTTACTACTATTGATTAAACTTTTTCACCATCGGTGTTAGAGGCTTCCATTAAATCAACACTTTTAAACACCATATGTTTAGTAAAGATGAGAAGAAAATTGGGATTACGTCTGACATTGTTCACACATGAAATCCAGAAAATTAACCAGGGATTCAAAAAACATTTTACCTCTTCAATTTTCTAATCGTTGACTCAATTTATTTCTAGACGTTGGCTCAATGAATATTTCTAACCACTATCTAATAAACTCCCAACATTAACAATTCATTAAATACTCCGTATAATGTTTTCAATTCTCTCGTTAATGCATAATGTCTGCATGACGATGCCTCCAAGTTTTATTTTCTATAAATTGTGTATTATCTCTATCTCTACACTATTATAAAAAAAAATGTAGCCAAGGGTTAAACGTTCATAAAAAATGTTGTTGTCCCTAGGTGCATAAGCTGACTATACATTATATTCTATTTGTTGTACGTTGTTAATCTGATCTGCTCGCAACTTTCAAAGTTATATCCTTATCACGGAGTAAACGATCCCCTCTTCTGTCTCTAGATTCATTTATTTCGTTGCAATCCGAAAGTTATATCCTTATTACGGGTACAAGGAAAAATCAACTTGAAACTTGACGGTGACAGTATTTGGTACATTGGGTGTAGCCACTGTTTGAAGAAAGTTTACGCCGAGTGCGAAAGCAAATTTAACTGCAAAAACTGTGGTGACCAAGCTGCAATCGGGACACCAAGTTACT